TGCCCCTTAAAAATCTCTATTGAGGCCGAGGTTTTTATTATCTGAGGGAGTTTGTTCCAAAACCTTGGGGCCACCACCTCAAAGGCACGGTCACCCTTAGTCTTTAACCTGGTTCGGGGCACATTACATTTACATTACATTGCATTTAGCTGACGCTTTTATCCAAAGCGACTTACAATAAGTACATTCGACCAGGAAGACACAACCTTGAAGAAAACAGAATCATATAAGTACATCAGGTTTCATAGAGCCAAACATTTCAAGTGCTACTCAACTGGCTTTAGGTAAGCCAGTCCTTTATTAGTATAAAAGTGCTTCGTTAATAGTTCTAACGCTCGAAGTGGAGTCGAAAGAGATGAGTTTTCAGTTTGCGCCGGAAGATGTGCACCCTTAGGAGGCCTTGTTCAGAGGACCTCAGGGCCCGGTTTGTGGTGAGAGGGTGGATCAGGTCATTGATGTAGGCTGGGGCTTGGCCATGGACAGCTCTATATGTGAAGACCAGTACTTTGAATTGGGTTCTGAGATGGACAGGGAACCAGTGCAGGGCAGAAAGAATCGGAGTGATGTGGCATGTTTTTTTGGACCGAGTCAGTAATCTGGCTGCAGGTGGGAACAATCATGGGGCGGGGCTGACACTGATGAGCACAGGAGACACAGAGAAGGGGTGACAGGTGAAAACAATCAGGAAATTAGACACACCAGGGAAACTAACGACAGACAGGAAAACACGGGGAGAAAGACCAGACAATACACAGGGAGGAAAACATGACAAGGAGAAAAGCAAAACACCCACTACCAGACACACAAAACTAAAAACGTGACACAACACAAGAATCGTGACAATGTTTTGTATAGGTGGTAACTAATCGCTTTATCAATGTTAAATACATCACTTCCCTTTTATCCCATTACACATTTATATGAAATTATCACAATTAGCGCGAGATGAGGGAGATTAGGGAGGTGTTTTATTTTTGGGAGGTGTTTTATTTTTAAAACAATGGGCATGCCAGTCTGATCCATGATTACAAAAATATTCGTCTGTGAAAGACCATTTCAAAGCAGATAGAGTTGTGGCACAGCTGTGAATGTAGTATACCTTCAATGCTTGCTGACAGTTTAAAGCAAGACAAACATGATGGGAAGGAGAAGAGACGCGGTGAGTGTCCATTCAAGAAGACACTGATGCCTGATAATAGAGAACAGTGTGTCTGTAGGCAGAAAGCAATCCTTTTCTTCTTCACTTCAGGAGGACTCAAAGCAGATCTGCCACAAGATACAAATGTAATGCTTTACCTTGAAGTTGTGCTTTAGTTTTAAATGCACTACTGGGACAGAAAGCAACACACAGTATAGTACAGTGTGATGCTCGCCTCTATAGAACTGGGTTCAGTCAGTCATCTTTAATGTGTTCTCCATTTGACAGGTTGCATGCTAATCACTTTTATAAAGCCATGTTAGCACAAGCATACCACGTCTTGTACTCTCACAGTGAGCCTTTAACCCTTTGCCTCACATACTCCTATATGACAACAATTCAAACGTTTCTTGTTTCTTCTAACAGACCTGGTGAGATGTTGCAACCGGCTACACTTGACAGTATTTCCTTCCACAGGAATATACCAGCCAAAGAAAATGATGTCACATTCGGTTGGAATACCAACACACATTAATATTCAACCCAAGACTCTGCATATAGGAGATTAGTTTCCCCATAACATCTAAAAAAGCCCGGGAACAAGCACTGTGTCCCTCTCCTTAGAAATTGCTCCCATAAGATACATTCAAGATCGCTGAAAGGAAAAAACTGATATAAACCAGTTCAGCAAATGGCATTTCATTCAATCTTCAATCTATTCTCGCATCACTTTGACAGCTGCACAACTGCAGCGACAGTGAGACAAGCCTGTGAGCTGGAAATAGATAAATAGTGAGCCTGTGTCAACATGGAGCAGACATTGGCAAGGGAAAAGTATGTGTATGTGTGCTGTTCAGAGTGTGGGTGAGTGCACAGAAAGTGGAACTCAGGGGAGACATCCTGACATGCAGATCTGAGAGAAAACACGATGGATTCGCCCCCGCTTGAAAAGTAATTGCTTATCAAACGGAACACGTTTTTAAGCTTGGATATGATGTACACATGCTGTAAAAACAATGTTGCTTTTTATTTAGCTGTGGGGATGTGCAGAGACCGAGTGACTGTCGGGCGTGGATGGGGGTCTAGACTGAGGATCAGCGGGTTTTCAGTGCTCAGTGATGGAGAAAGGCTCTGTGGCTGTCAGGTTGCTCCCACTGATGAAGGGAGGCTGTGATTGACAGATGAAACCAGCACTGCCTGCACATGGCCTGAGAGATGGCAGGACCTAAGGAGTGAAATCCTTGTGGGGCATTTATGATGCTCATGTACCCAAGGTTCACTCTATAGCTCCTACTATATCCACAGATGAAAATGTTTGTATAATTTCTCCGTCTGTGTTTCAGCCAGGATGTGTGTACAATCTAACCACATGTATCACTCTCTTGTGTGCCCCAAAATAGCATTTAGCTACGACGGAGATTATGATAAGTGTGTCGGGTGTTTTTGTGGCACGAGAGGATTCGCAAATCCTTCCTTCTCTTCAAGAAATCCACTCATTAAATCCTTTTGCATTCTTCCTCCGGCATGTTGCCTCGTCTCATCAAAATTGCTCCCACCACAAGTTATTCCCTGTATCCCTACTAGGCCCTGGGATCAGCTCCATGAGTTGAATTATAGAGCGAAAAAGTCATTAAGTGGGATAAAGATACAAGGAATCGATGGAGCAATAGATACTCTGCCGCTCTCAATTGTCTCCAGTCCAGTGCACTCGAGCATCGAGGTGGTAAAGCCCGCTGGTTGTTTCCAGGTGAACTCTCCCCCAGCCAGTCCACAACTCTTCAGTCGTTGAGGGGGGATCAATGGTCTAAATGGAGCACCCAGCTGGTTACTGCAACCTAATTTGTCCTAAATATACCGGAAGTATTACAGCAGGCTAACCTGACATGTGTTTTATTTTGGGTTGCAATATCATGACAAAAAGATTACAAAAGATTTCATATCGAAGCAATAAATTGTCCTGCAAATCCTTTTAGACAACACAATAAAGCAGATGATGTAAATCCCTAATTCCCCACAGAATAACAGGCGGTAGCGACCAATCTTTGTTGTGTGTGGGCAGCTTTAAAATAGTGCCTGTCTTGGGCCTGTAATTTTAATGGCTGTGAGGAAACTGCTGGATAAATTAGACACACAGACAGTTCTAGTCTAAAGAATTGTTCTGTCTTACTCGCTCCTTTCAGAGAGTGTGAGATGCACTACATCTTTCTCCCCTTTAATGACACTCACATTTGACTTGTTCTCCTCTAATTATGTGACCCACCTGACCCCGGAGTTCTCCCTTATGGAAACTAATGGCCAATGGAAGCTCAGGTTGGTTGTCATTATAAAGACAATCCTGCAGCTGTCCCAGAGATGGGAAATAAAGGACATGAGTACAAAGACAGAATTGTGGCCCTTAACCTGCAGAGAATGTATTCATTAAAGCCACTTCACAATGTGTTTGATTTGATAGATGTTATGTTTGCCTCCGGTCAGACGCATTGGAATTGGAATTCATCCATGTAGATCATCATGACACATATCAATATAACACACATCATCATAATACCGGTGAGAGAAAGTTTGTATGTTTCCTTTTGTTATTCTGAACATGCAGTATGCATTTATGGAGTCAAACATGCTTCAGAACACGACTTTCATAAGACCTCTGATAACATGCTGATGTTGAATCAAGCCACACATCCTCAACCATGAGATACAACATGACACTTGTAATTTGGGCTTTAGCATTCAAATACGATGACTCCTCCTCAGGATTAGATAGGCCAAGGAGATCTGGAAACTGGTCAGTAACCAAGTGTCAAACTCAAGTGTAATATGGCCCTGATGTCACAGCAATGAGGCGTGTGATGTGCTGAGCGTCATCTCACAATAAGATGTCTGTGGTTGGCTCGATGTGAATGAAATACTTTTTTTTTTCTCACTAAGTTAAGCTGTTTCTTCCACAGCACATGCCGTTGTGTTCATGTGGAATGAGTCATTCATGCCTGTGGTCCATGAAGCCTCACATCCCACTCACATCCTCACGCTGCCAGGTTTCCCATGCAGCCTCTGCATCAATGCCAAGATTGCATATACATATATATTGAATAATTATTACTAAATCTATGTGGCAGCCTACTAAACCCTTCCACCCTTGGGCTCCATCCAACCTGTAGTATATTTCTGCCATCTTCGTCTGTGTCTGTGTCTGTCAGTCAACTCTCTTCAGTCTCGCTCTGGGAGGCCAACCTTTCAGCATTTCCAATGATGTGCCTCGGAAATCTGTTTCCAGGGCAACCAGGGTACCAAATACTCTCCCAGTGGCTTATGGCTTGTGCGTCCTTTATTTACACTTGTCATATCTGTGTGAGGATGTAGGTTGCTCTAAAGAGACAAGAATGGGAACTCAAAAAGGCACATTGTGTAAAAAATTAAACCAAAGATGATGTCAGAGTAACCCAGGCAATCCTATGTTGTACACCCACAGTATGAGTGTGTTGTTTCCTGTTATGCTTATGATTCGGTATTTGTCAAAGGTATATTTTTAATAAAGGATGTAATGTGACATTGGACTCCCACATGTTCCGTCTAATTTCCTCAAAACTGCTTAAATACACAAGTGGGAAACATGGATCTTACTGAGGCCAATTGATCCATGATGCGCAGCTGGCGCGATGCCCCTGATAGTAACGCTGTGACATTACAAACGGAAACCTTTCGTTACGTAACAACACTGAAGACAATGATTGAATGTGTTTCTAATGATTACCCCCCTCGTTTATTGGACTTATTAAAAACCAACTCACGTCTATCATTTGTTAGCCTTGCGCTTGCGCGTAATGGAGCCGGGAGCTGTCCAATTTCTGAAATGAGAAAAGGCGTTTCACTCCCATTCCTCAACAGAAGACCTGCGAAAGATTTCACTTCATAACTACCAACAGGGGCCAGCGGGGCTGTCTTCACAGAGCCAGCTGTCAGATCTGAGCCAAAAGATTTTCGAGCGTTTTTGGAGTTTCACCCTCTCGGCGTTTGACCACAGGACTGATGTTTATTCACACCTCTGCTTCGGAGATCTGTTTTTGGGAGTTTTATGAAACTAAACTATGATCTGTGGCTGCCTCGAGGAATGTCTCATGTATTTTTGTGTGACACAAGAACATCCAAACGCCCGCGACTTGGTCAGGAAGAAAGCGGTTCCCCTATTTGGATTATGTGTTTGACCAAAACATATGGAAGAAATGAAAAAGTGAGCACATGGGGAAACCTCCAGGAATGAATCGCTTTTTCACGAGGGTTTTGGCAGCTTTATTTACATATCTCATGGCGACAAACAACTTCAGGTAAGTCAATTCATTTACCGATATGAATTTACAGATATGAAAACACATTAGTTATCCCTTCTTTACTTTGGTAAATACGATATATTACTAATTGTAGGCGCCGTTAAACAAGCAAGATATAAGCATTGACTTTCCCTCTGCACAGCCTAAGTTGGTAATTGCTTGAGCTTGATTAGGGCTAACTAAAGTTACTCTCTATTTCCAACAGTTTAAATGGTATTTCTAAGCACAATTTCGTCCTTAAAATGTGCGCAAACTGTCCAATACCTCAGTGTTATTTTTTGTGTGAGATTTACGCATGTCATTTTATTATTATTCAATCTCTTGTGTCATCATACCAATATATCTGCGATGTTTCATATGGAACTACATCACGCTGTGAAATCTGTCCGGTAATCTTGCATGATGTGACAGAATTGTAGGTCTTTCTGATAAAAAACGAAATGCCTACGACGTCGAAATCCCAGATTTGTCCGATACGTGTGTGTTCTTAAACGCATTTTCTAGTTTCTCTGTGCTTGCCCATCACTCCCTGGCAGCTGCTAGGCGACAGATAAGGTTTAACTCCTGGGTTTCAGCCGTGACTTCAGTTTGATAAAGTGATTTTTTTGTTATCTCACTATGTGTGTTACAGAGTTGTGGATGCCAAGGAGTACGATTCCAGATCATCCACCAACCTGTCTCCGTCAGACTTTCTGGACTCACTCATGGGTCGCACGTCCGGATATGATGCACGAATAAGACCGAATTTTAAAGGTTTGTTTTTCACTGTATTTTGGACATCTTCACACATGTCAATTCAAACTTAATTTTACCTTTGCAACACAACCACAGAAACACCTTCTTTTCAAGTGGTGTGCATGGAGAATTTCTGCATGCAAAAAAACGGTATCCCATCCCCACCTCCCATTCTCTTTGACATTATTACCTATCTGGAAATCCATTGGCTTTTATCTGATGCTAAGACACTGAGCTGTCAGGCCTTAGACAAGCACAATCAATCACTTCAGTTGACAGTAACATGGTTGTCCTGGCTTGAATTAAATCACCAACTAACCCCTCATTGCACGTTTGTTGTAATGTGGTCAAATCAAACGCATGCACACACAAACAGTCATTTATAGCTGCAACTAAGCCTTATAATCAAATAGTTGATAGACGTAAAAATGAATCTGCATCAAATATGACAGTTTACTACAAAATGCCAAATAAATGAATGGTTACATCCTCATAAAAAATGGGAATATTTTCTTAATCTACTATGATATTACAAAAAAAGGGATTGTTAGTTTATAAAAAACAAGACATTTAAATCGTTTTTGTACTATTTTGTACTATTCTTAGTTCAAGCTTTTTTTTTACAATTTTCTAACAAGAATGATAATAATAATAATAATAACTTGAATTTATATAGCGCCTTTCATAACCTCAAGGTCGCTTTACAAAGAAACATACAAGGACAACACATAAAACATAAAAACATAAAACAGGGGGCAGAAATGGAAGTGTAAGTGGGGGGGGGGGGAGATTGAGTTATTATTGGAAGGCGATGTTGAACAGATGATATAATCTGTATCTCCATTAAGTAATATTTTAGAAACCAAACAAAAAGATCACGGACAGGGTTGCCCCCATGACAGGCCAAATGAGGGTTGGTACCCCCAAGGCAAGCCTGCAGGCTGCTGACTCCCACTGTTGTTGATGCTGTTATAGATGGGACACAAACAGCATCTGTCAGTGGAACTGAGCTGAGTGAGGAGAGGCTGCTGGGGCTCAGGCCCGCTCTGGGTGGGTCAGGTGGGCTGGGATTTGTTGTGGGGGGTTTGGGGTTTCCAGTTGTTAAAGCAGCCAAGAAAGTGTAGTATGGGGACTGATCAACAGGACTCAGAAGCACATGGCTCAGACCTTTTCTCTCCATCTGCTGGAAAAGGAAAGAATATGGACATAAAATGGGATGAGGACAGCCTGTGTAACACCAGCTGGTATTTTCAGGGGGGTAGGAAGTGAAAGCAACTGTTTCTAATGAAGAGAAGCCGAGCACACGTGGATGAAGATGCAATGAGAAGGATTTTAATGGTGCTGGGTTATATTTGTATTCTCTGCAGATACAGCTTCTTGTCTTATACACATTTTATAATAATCTCATAGCTAGAAAACAAACACTTTTGCATGAACCCACTGCGATGTAAACAGATGATTTCAGTTGCGATCCTCCAAGTCATACTTTGAAGTGAACTGTACGGTGAACTGTATTTCTGAAGGCTGACCTAGATTTCCTTGCTGACTTTGTTGTGTGCAGGTACTGCTTCTTTTTTTCTCCTGCTTCTGCTGTTAAATGTAGCTACCTGACGACAAACTGAGGCAAATATTAATACCTAGTGCCATGCAATATTGATGAGAAAAGCACAGAGGAAGGGCACTACCAAGGGCTTAAAACTTCACTTATCAGATTCGGTAAACACATTTGCTGTGACTGAAGTGGCATAACCTTCTTAGCCTCGCAACAACATTTCTGTTTAGGTCATGAAAAGGACACTACTCGTTATAGCATGCATGGTACTTTTTACCTTAAGTGTTTTGATATTAACAAATGACTAGGGCTGCAACTGATGAAAATCTAAAATATGGGTGCATTTCTCTCTTGAATAATGTATTCTTGTTAGAAAATAGTACAACAAAAACTTGAAATATTTAAAAGTCTTATTTTTGTATAACCAACAGTCATAATTGTTGTAGTTTCATGGAAGATGTAGAACATATTCCCATTTGATATAGACTGTAACAAGTAAGTTATTTGGCATTTTGTAGTAAACTGTCAAATTTGATGCAGATTAATTTGATTATCAGGCTTATAGTTGCAGATCTAAATGACTGTTTGTGTGTGTGTGTGTGTGCATGTGTTTGTCATTGTGTGCATGTAGTGTGTGCTAAATTCTTAAACACAGAATGCAGAAAAATACATTTCAAAGCGTGTTAACCACAAAAGATCACCACATCACTTCAAAATCATCAATATTCTAACAAGGTGAAACAGTTTGACGTTGTTAACAATTAATATATTTAGTTGGAGTATACATTTTCACACCATTTACCACAATTGTTTTGATCTTTTGTGTCTGGTTATACACAGCATGCAGCATGTCGCCATCCACTCTGGAGCTCCTTAAAGAAAATGTAATAAATAAATAGTGCTTGTTGGTATTAATGCATGTTGACACACTCAGTGGAACAGCAGCTTGTGAACCAAAGTCCCAAATATCCTGATGAAATAACTTCATCCAAACCCATTGGCCCTGATCATATGGTTTAAGGCTTTCTCCTGTCATGTGGTTGTCATTCCATTTCACAGGTCCCTCCGTAAATGTTACATGCAATATTTGTATCAACAGTTTCAGCTCTGTCACAGAGACAACCATGGTGAGTTCCTCTGGCACTTTGGCTGATTTCTGCACAATGTGTTATCTATCCCTCAACCTGCAGGTCCACCAGTTAATGTTACCTGCAACATATTTATCAACAGCTTTGGTTCTATAGCAGAAACTACAATGGTGAGTTGAGCGCTGTGCTTGGACAATCTAAAGTCCTGACTCTTGCTCAGAAGTTAAGACTGAATCATCCTATTTTACATTTTTGACCTTATACCTTTTTTTTCAAAAAACATTTATCATTGCTATGTGTACCTGTTCACAAACATACTTTGTTTTTGCCATCAAAGAGTCTATTGGCGGTTGATAAGACACAGAAATCTGTTATACGTTTATGCAAATAAGTATTGGTTTCTTCTCCCTTGACAGCCCTTACACACAAGCTGGTTTAATAATTAATAGAATACATTTCAACCAGCAAGTCCCTTTAAGTGCAGCCAATAACTCTAGGGAAGGGGAGGCTTTCATACCAGCTGATCTACAATATGATGTGAAACATTGCCATGCCTTAGGGGTACAAATATAAAACCTGTTAGGCTGCATCTCAACTCATCACGATTAAAGGATTCATAATGAGTGATAATGAGTACTTAAATCGTGAATGAAGGTTGTTAATTTGCGCGTGAGCAGGGGCTCATAAGATTGCCAGGAAATTACACAGCTTTTGACACGCATGCAAATATTTTTGAACCGCCAATATTCTGATGAAATGTCAAACAACATAAGGGCCTCTCATCATCATGACATTTCAATTACTCTGAGAAACTGAGCTTTGTGAAACTCAGTTTACTTACTGCACTGTCAGAGTTCTCCTCATCAGCCACTTGATCTTATAAATCCACCATTAGCTTCTATAATGGCGGTGAAAAAAAAGATGGTAAATAAGAAAAACTATTATAAGGTCAGTAGTTTGCTAATTCAACTTGCAACAATGGACAATCATCACACTGGTCATGTGAACATCATGTATAATGTAACATTCTAGGCACCGAGATGATGGTTGATGGTGTTGCAAGATATAGATGTTGCCAAATCTGCCTTAAAATAAATGTCTTGTTTCTCATCCATTTTATTATTTTTCATGTGTTATTATTATTATTATTATTACAGGACTGTTTTTGAGTGAAATGTGATACTTAAAGTAAAAGTAAACAACTACTAGCAACAAAGTGTACTTTAGTAATCAAAAGTACTCATTATGCAGAATGGTTCCTTCAGAGCATTCTTGTTTTACACAATTGTATATACATATTTTATTGTATATAATTAAATAATAAGTAGTATGGAAATACCTCAGCATTGCAATTGAATAATTTGAGTGCCTTGCTTTCCATTTATCAGATTATTTTTTTTAAATAATAATGGAGACATAAGGTTACCAATGTAAATGTGTTCTTTACCTCATCAGAAAGATAACTAATATTTAAAACCAATACAAATGACTGCTTTCTCATAACCCCAATCGCTGGACTACAACATATGCAAAGCCGCTTGTCATCTGTGCAGGATTACAGAGTGAACATCTTCCTGCGTCAGAAGTGGAATGACCCTCGGCTGGCGTATAGTAAATATCCAGATTCCTCCCTGGACCTGGACCCATCCATGTTGGACTCCATATGGAAGCCCGATCTCTTCTTTGCCAACGAGAAAGGGGCCAACTTCCACGATGTGACCACAGACAACAAGCTGCTGCGGATCTTCAAAGATGGGACTGTTCTCTACAGTATCAGGTGAAGATAAACACAAGTTAAAACAAGTCAAGTAGGAGGTTAACACAAGAGTGATGAGACAAGAGGTTTAAGGCAAATTGATCATTTAAAAATAACTGTTAGACATAGTTTACCCCGGGGGATTTTGTAGGAATCTGTGCTGAGTGAAAAATGAATCTGCAAATAACCAAAAGCTCTGATGCATAGATCACCCAAGGACATGTCCACTTATTGCTTTTCTTACATTTCCTCTCAAACATCAAAGACTGTCAATCTAAAAGATACAGTTTTAAATGGATTTTATCATATTATGATCACTCCTTTGAAATGGCATAATTCAATAAAGTCCAGTACATCCCCATATGCGATGTCGATTTTTTATAAAAGAACACTGATTGGAAGAGGGCCAGCAAATCTCAGGGGCATTGTGGGGAATCCGAAGCAAAGATAAAAGTGGGAATCGGTCTTCATGTTGGACTGTTGAACTCCTGAGTTCTGTGAAGAAACACTACATTGTGTGTAGTACACACTCCCTAATATTCCATATTCCCATCATACAGTGTTTTATTCTTCTGTATAGCATTTCATCTTAGATTCTTTTCTGCCTTCAATTTTATATGTATAAACCTGCATTTCAATTACACCATTACGTCACTATTTCATAACATTGTTGATGTGTTTAAGTGTACTGTATGTTATATTTTTGGAGCCTGAGACTTACAGTTTTTCATTGGCAACAACTGCCCTTTATCTATTGTGCGTATGAAAATAATGCAGAAGATTTGTAATCCATAAAACCATTGCTAAAGACTCTGAAACAAGCAGACAGGATGGATGACATTTTGAAACCCCATCGGCTGAAAATCTGAACAAAACTCAGTACAAGATATGAAAATATGTTTCATTTTATTTCAATACAACTTCAATCACACGCAGCATTCAATTTTCTCCGCAATGATGCGATGTGAAGATCAATTTTGAGTCCATTTAGAGAGGCTCAGGTGTGGAGGCGGAGCGGGTCAACGGGAGAGATGAAAGGTGGTTAGTCGCTCCCTCCGTTCATGAGAGAAACGACAGAGTGGGCAGACAATGCATCACAGAGACAATAAATTGGAGTAATGAAAGTGTGATAGGAACCTGCTGAAGGGAATCATACATGATATTTCAGACACTATCACACAGGAGAAAAAGGCGCACGGATTACCACCAAAAAGCACCAACTGTCGCAAGCAAATTATTTTCTATTCATGTGTCGACTGAAGTTTAATAAATATATTGCTTTCTGAATCAAAAATATTCATTGGTGTTTTCTGTTCACTGCATCTTGCTCACAGGTTAACTCTCATTCTGTCCTGCCCAATGGACCTGAAGAACTTTCCGATGGATGTCCAAACTTGTACAATGCAGCTGGAAAGTTGTAAGCATTGACTTTGTCTCAGTTTTGATTTAGATTTACATATCTAGATACTGATTTGTCTATTCTGTTCTTTCTCTAGTCGGGTACACCATGAATGACTTGGTGTTCGAGTGGCTGGAGAACGGGGCGGTGCAGGTGTCAGATGGACTCACACTGCCTCAGTTCATTATGAGGGAAGAGAAGGAGCTGGGTTACTGTACAAAACACTACAACACAGGTGAGAGGACACACACACACACCAAATATACCTTTGCATTTCTATGGTTCATGTTTTGGTAGCTGAACTGCATTTGTGTGTCTCGCTGTTTCAGGTAAGTTCACCTGCATAGAAGTGAACTTTCATCTGGAGCGACAGATGGGGTACTACCTGATCCAGATGTACATTCCGTCCCTCCTCATCGTCATCCTCTCATGGGTGTCTTTTTGGATCAATATGGACGCTGCTCCAGCCAGAGTGGCACTGGGTATCACCACCGTGCTCACCATGACCACCCAAAGCTCCGGCTCCAGGGCTTCTCTTCCAAAGGTGAGCCCTTGTTTGGTTTCTATAAAAAAAAACATAAATCATAAAAACACATCACAAATCTCTAATGGTGAAACATATAAAAGAGACAGATATGAAGGCATGCACCAATTATTATGATTATTATAAATACAAACATTGCTGATTGTGGTCTCTTCTTCTTGTAATGATTTAATAATTAAATAATTATAAATATTTTAATAACATGTCTAAATATACACATGTATTGTTGAAACACATGGCTCAGTGTTTCTTCTCCACACTACCTCTTTTAAATCAGCACAGCAATCCACTTTAAATACAGTATCTAGTATTTGTAATAGGTAAATATGTAATATTTTAATTTCATTTAGTTTTGCTACGTATTCTTCTTTCTGTGTCTTTGTATGCACCACATATACCAAAGCAAATTCCTCGTTTGTGTAAACCTACTTGGTATAGAAACCGATTCTGATTATATAATTACAATTTAAGGATATGGGATAAAGATAAAGAGACCTAAAGACCCACATTTATTTTAAATGTAAGATTACTAAATACATCAATTCGTTTTCAATTTGTTTTACACAGCCCGTCCTTGGAGCTTAAATGTGGGTTGTTTACTTCTCTACTGTAACTGACAGTTTCTTTGAGAGTGACACAGTTCAGCTCTGTTGTCCTGGTCAGTGCAATTCACAGCATTCAACATGTTTGTAACAGCTGTGAAGATGTTGCTATCTAAAGCATGTACATAGCCTACAGCAGTGGTTTTCTGTTGTAGCATATTTCCAATCAGAGTGAATTACCATGCACATGTTGTGAAGGGTACTACAAGCACTGAGAGTCAGATCTTGATGATCAATCACTCTCCATGCATCAGGCCGCACCTGAGCACCGAAGACCGCAGCTGCGTAAGAGATTCTCACATAAAAGACTTGCATACTGTTACATATTTAAAGAAAAGCCTTTGAGAGCCTCGATTCTAGAAAACAACACCTTAATATGCCTTAACTGTTCCTTAAAACGCCGAGTTGTTTTCTTTAGATGCTAATCAGCTGTCATGGAGTGAGGAGTTCACTTTCAACTTTTTCAAAAAAACAGGAAGGGAACTCATCTCTTTCTAATGGTAATGAAGGCAGCAATTATTTCCCTTTATTTATGAATTCACTGACATTACTGGCAGCTCTGATACACTTGTTAGCAAACATGACCTATAATTACAGTCATTTAGAAGTCTATTGAACTGCCACAATGAGCAAGGTTAGGTGAGAAAAAATAATGAAAATGGTCCACAGCTGCAATAGGAGAATTGATCTCTAGGGCTTAGAAATAAATACGGAAACATTCAAATCTAGCAAAAGTCAGCCTGAACTTTTAGCTGATACCAGTATGATCACCTTCAAGGATCTAACAAAAGATATCTGTTTTTTACTTCCAGGTCTCTTATGTGAAAGCCATTGATATCTGGATGGCTGTGTGTCTGCTCTTTGTATTTGCTGCATTGCTAGAATATGCCGGGGTTAATTTTGTCTCCAGGCAACAGAAAGAGTTTCTTCGTCTGAGGCGAAGGCAAAGGAGGAATAACAAGGTAGGCTTACAAAGTTATTTGGATATCAAACTTATCCACATTAGTGGTTGTCCAAACTGAAAGATATAAAAACATTCATGGTACCCAGAAGATGAATCATAACAACTCTGGTGAAGCTCTAACTTTTCCTGTAGTGCCACCAACTGGTCAATTGGCCCAATATTTAGGACAGCTATTCATAATATACATCGGGGATTACCAGGTCACTATGACATAATGATAATAATAAAAATACAATGTGCAAAATCAGGATGAGAGCTGATTCTCTGAGTTTTTTCTACACCGTCATCAGGTCTTAATTCTGGTTAAGTGGCCAAATACCTACAAACATACTGAAATTCAGCCGCAGTTGTAGGCTTCGTTGTGTTTAGTGTTTAAGTGCAATTATTAGCACATTAACAGTTTCATTTAAAATGTGAGCATGGTAATATAATAATTCTGCTATAGGCCTATCTGCCAAACATCGCCATGTGGCATTGCCATTGTGAGCATGCTAGCATTAGCTTTAAGCACAATGAACCACTGTGGCTAACTTCCACTTTACATGGCACGAGATATTGAAGTAGCACAAACAGTGAATTAATATTCATCCCCATAGGCTTGCACTGAGAGATTTATCAATACACTGCATCAGGTCATCTTTTTATAATTTAAAAGTGTTATCTCATGATTACTGTTCATGTAAGTTCACTATGCTAACAGCAACACTAAGCACTTTCAGTGGGGTATCTAAGAGTAGGGCCTACATTAATTCTGTCCATATGTGAATGTGTTTTTTTTTTTCAGGATGAGGACATGCGTGATGGCCGCTTTAATTTAGCTGGCTACAATAAAAGTCAATGTCTGCCAACAAAGGATGGCTCAGCTGTTAAGAACGCTGCTCCAGCTCTGAACTCTCAACAATCAGCCGCCAAGGACTTAGAGACCATGAAGAAGAAGTTTGTGGACAGAGCCAAGAGGATAGACACTATCTCCAGGGCCGGCTTTCCTCTGGCGTTCCTCATTTTCAATGTCTTCTACTGGGTCACCTACAAGATCATCAGGTACGAGGACATCCACGTAAAGACTTAACCCTTGACAAGCAACCTTTATTTTTGTTGTCATTTCTCAGATTGAGAAATGCTTGGAAAGCACAGTGAGATGAGATGGGAGGCTGCGTATTGAGAGGTACCATGGTGGTGATGATGGTGGAGTTCTTTCAGGGATAATGTATAATGTCCATGCATCATACAGTAATGCTCATGCTCTGAGACACAGATGTTTTTGTTGTTGTACTGCTGGATAATGTTTCCTGCCAAATCTGGGAGAAATGGTTTCAACTCAATGCTTAGTAATATGCTGGAGAATAGGGACCAATATTGTTTAAATAAATTCTGCCTTGCCATCTGTACAAGGAACAAAGAAACATTCCATGGATTTGTAACAGTAACATAGCCAGACCCTCAAAGGCTGTTTGTGATTGCAAAAAGGTTATTTCTTAAGGATGTTTAGGACTGTTTTATATTTTAATACTCTCATCCACTCACAACGCAGCAAACTTAATATAATTCAAAGTATATAGGCAGAAAACACATACAGTACTAAGGATCCTTCAGACAAAAGGAGAGGGACACGTATCAGGCATGAAAGAGAACAAAGCAGATTAAAATATGGAATTGAGAATTGGATACTGCATTTTTATGAAATACCTGAGGCCTTAGATATCAAAGACTTGGAGAGATGAAGTGCTGTGCTTCTCTATTTGTTCAAGCCTCACCTCTTTCTAATGGTCTATCAGAGTTGAATGCAGTGTTTGATCTTTTCTACCTGTGGCCAGAGTACATCCAAAGGTACTTCTTGTTGTTTCTTTTCTCTCTCAGTGTATTATAGATCATATTTCTGTACAACTGATGTCACTTAAAATCTGTGTAAGTTTATTCAGATTGCTATAAAAGTCACACATTTTTGTTTTTATTCTAAAATAATTGATTATACAAAATGTCATATATTTCACAGGCTAAGTTCATAAAAGTATAATGATCAAGTTTAAAACTGGGCCTCCAAACTGTGAACACGCACTGCATTACTCAATGTTGTCATATGCCCATATGCACATACATTTATTTATATTCCAGGTTAATAAAAACCCCTGGTAAGGTATGGTTTTAGAGTTCGAGACTGTTTTTTGTAGATTTAGTCAGATTAAATATTTATTGTAATGGAAGAAAAGGTTATGTTCTTAAGAAAAAAAGCTTTCTGTATACTTCTTCAACCTCCGCTGTGGCCTGTTTCCCTTCACTTGGCTTGTTTGTTTGACATATGTTGCGATTCCACAGTGAAGGAAGTTCTGCATTAAAGTCAAGGTATAGTGCAGCTAATGGCCCTCACACTCCTGATATACTGTAGTGAAGAACTCTTTTCTTGAATGCTAAACCTGAAGAAAAAATATTTACTGCTCTGTACATCAATAAAGTTGACTGCACCACTTTATTTACACATCTCCTGTCTTGTTTAAGGCTTTGTTGTGTATTCTCTTGTTTTGATGCAACCATATTGCTTCCTTCACATGTAATAAATAAATACACAGAGGCCTTTGCAGGAAAATAAATACTGACAAAATAAGACACAAACACATGGAAATGCTTTTTGTGATCGGGTTGAAGATCAGATCAGAGAAAACGACAAACACAGTCCCCTCACCGAGCCCATAAGTCAGGGTGATGACACATGCCATGGATCGTTGGGTGACACAGATATGATCTGACAGCGGGTTTCCATTAATGCACGATAATGGACTTCACACTGTAGAGTTATGATTCCATCAGCTCGGGTTTACCCACCAGTTGAATGGAAAATACTGGCATTATGTACACAGACAGGAGAGGACCAATACATTAGATATTAATACAGTAAATAAAGATGTTTCTTAAAGGTCCACTATTATACTCTTTTTCATCAATATATTACAGGTCTCAGATATATACAAACATGTCTCTGAAGTGTTTGGCTCCAAATACCAAACAGATCATTGTAGCATTACCCATAATCCCCTCTGTTTCAGCCCTGTTTCAAAAGTGCTGATTCTCTGTCTGTTACTTTAGATGAAAATAAGGAGCCACTCCCCACGCCCGAGATATTTGGTTAAAAAGAACACAATGGTGCTCTAGGAGGAGATTCAGGTGATAAGGGGGGGGGGGGGGGGTACCTTGGTTGGTGATTGGCTAATGGTTACACAAGCCAAAACATCATTATGACATCATAAAGTGGCCAAAATCTGATCAGCTCATTTTCAGACAGGTTTTTATATAAATGGAGCAGGACAAAAAGAGAGAAAATATTTGTTCCTGAAACTTTGAAAATCTCTTTATACAGAGGGGACACATGTTGATGTAGAAAATACATGAAAAAACCCAAATATATCATCCTTAAAGAGACAGGAGTGGCTCCTTTTTATCCTAGTGTTACACTAATGATGCTTTTTCTTTATCATTGTATGGGTAATACCAGGATCCATCAATCCAACATTTATTTTAAAGATTAATAATACATGGTCTGTGGCAGCAGGTTTATTAAGAAGGCCACATGAATTATCCAAGTACTATTTTAATGCACACACAGGGATTATAAACTAATCAATAATACTAATCCTAGTCTGGAAATACCATCCATTTCACAGACACAGCCTTACATCACCCCCCAGTGTTATTGCTGTTTGATTATGCAGGGATGCAATAGCCTTTATGCAATCAAGTTCAGTATGACGGCTTATGAAGGGAAAATAATTTGCAGCTTATAATTGTGTTTAAGAGGGAAAACAACTTTCCATCTTTCATTAAGGTTTAAGGAGGCTGCTTTGTGCGGTCTGAGAGAGGCAAGAAATGAGGGTTACCATAGCAACAACACAGCAATTGAGAAGGCCAGTGCGAGAGAAAAGTAGAAAATGAATGGAGTTGAGAACACTGGAGCAGGATTCTGCCGAAAATGCGTCTCTTACGCCTGAGCATTTATTTTAATTAAACATTCATTTATACTGAATTAAAGTATGAATACAATCTGCAACAAATTCTGCTGTTTCCTGTTCATTCAGAGGAATATGCTTCCTTGTATATCTGTCAGAATATAAAGGTATTGACAATAACCTGCAATATATTAGAAATAAAATATAAATATAATGTAACGTTATTAACCCATACGTTAATGTGTTCGAATACACATAATGTTGTGTCTAATGTAATGCTTTTGTACAATTATGGTTACAGAATCTTTTTCTAACTACTTCATGATTGTACTTCATGTATCAAATACTTAAAATTTTTACCAAGATAAACATGCAATAAATAAAGTTAAAATGATATTGACTGATTTTCTTTTTTTATTCCGATTTTTCAAAGATATGGCGATGTTGATTTTTTGGAACAGGATATTAGATTGTGGTTAAATCTGATATTCTACCAGCACTGTGTGTGAGGGACATGCACGTTACATGGTCTATAAATGCTGCACAAAAAGTGTTTCACTTGGCACTCCAGCAACACAAATATTTCTCATTGATCATCTGCAGGCCGTTTGTATTGATCTGCACTCCTTTCTTATAGCTCCTGGTAGTTTCTTCTTTAATCATGTGTCCCCAGAAGCCATCTTCAAATGTATCAATCTGAAAACAGCTACTTTAATGCAACTAAACCATCTTCAACTTGGCAACCGTCTCTGCTGAGGAAGGCCATGAGATGTATTTGAGAGAAGTGGACCTTGTGTGAGAGTTTCTTGCCAACAGCCTGAATATTCAAGGTGAACAAATTATAATAAGAAGCCTGGCACATTAAATAGGTTTTATTCACATGTTGTGTACCCTTTTAATGTCTAGAGCAGTGGTTCTCAAACTTTTTTCAATAATGTACCCCCTTTGAAAAAAAAATTCAGCCACGTACCCCCTGATCAGCGCAAAAACTATTTGTTAAGGAAGAACAGCCTATATAAAGAGATACAGTACATGGCTGCACCATCAGTGTCTGATTTATTAAAACAACAACATTGTAACTGAGAAACACTTAAATGCTACATTTCAAATGTTTACAATCCATCACTAAATTCATGACAAACCAATTTTAACATCATGCAATAACACTAAGATGACATTAGTTGCATTGAACTGATCTTTTTCATAAGTTGTACTTACAATGTAGTGAGAAACATGGGCTTGTGCTTCACTGAGGATCTTTGTCATTCTGACAGGGAGGCAAACTGCAGTTATTACACTTCGCACTTTGAAATATGTGTAACTCTGTTAATATAAAACCCACACTGCTCAAACTTCGTTACTTTTCCTAAAATTGGTATATTTGTATATTTATTTATTTTGGGGCTATGGGAATGAAGAGAAAAAAAAATATGAGCATGGGATGTTGACCCCTCATATAAACATATGCATAATGCTGCGCTATACTTTGCTTATTGTTTAGGTGTCCTTTGATTAGCAGGCAGTCATATAATTAACTAGAACTATCTAGATCTGATAGATTTGGACATTACGCGAGTGAAGTATAACCGGACGCGAGAGAGATCAGATCAGCTGCTGCTGACGGAGAACATGCAGCTCTGCATGATCACAGCTCCGCTGCTGTGACGGATCGTTGAGTGGAGCAAAATACACTACGAGTTAGACCTAACACACTTAGCTAGTTTATCTACTCTGGAACTAGCTAAACTAGTTACAAATATATTTATTCTTTACTGTCGGGTCACTTATTACAGGTTCAGCGAGCTGCACGAGACTGACGGGCTGTCAGGAGAGGGAGAGGAAAAGAGAGCACCACGTTTATTTTTCTCATTTTATTATCCAGTTTGTTTAAATGCATTAATTATGTTTTTTTTTTTCATTAACATAAAATAAATCTCACGTACCCCCTGCAGTACTCCAACGTACCCCTAGGGGTCCGCGTATCCCCATTTGAGAACCACTGGCCTAGAGTATTAGGCCTAAGGGCAGGGCCGCCCCTCCCTACAGGCCAATCACGCAGGCTGCATGGGGCCCCGCCTTGCGCAGGGGGCCTCAGCTGCTGTGCGCAGTTCTCCGCTCAGTTCTCCGCTCAGTTCTCCGCTCAGTTCTCCGCGCACCCCCCGCGAGAGTGAGAGGTGACAAGGGGAGCACGTGTATAACCCGACACCGTTGCAATGAATCGACATCTGACCAATCACGGCTTTGATACGGCCACTAGTGCAGGTGAAGAGATGTCGGTGAAAAGACAGTTTCAGTCCGGGGCAAGCAAGAGGGGGAAAAAAACAAAACATGAAGAAACTAGAGCATCACTCGAAGGTGGGTTATTGTATGAGTCAAATGTACAACTTGTGAATGTTGTATAAGTCAAATTGCCAATTGCCATATTAAAACATCAGCTGCAATTCAGGACATGAAGAAGGCAGTCTCTGCAGAGCATACAGGCTAATGGAGTTGCAGTTATTTCCAGCATTCTTTATTTACCATTCATTCAAGTATGTTATGCCTTTTATCTGCTGATGTACAGGAGGAAGAGTGATACACTGTCTGTTTAGTTGGCTTACATAACAGTTAAAGTTTGCAGCCTAAAAAACATGGAGCATTTTTTCCCCTTTTATTCATTTTTATGTCTATTTGCACATTTCATGGTGACGCTCAGCCTCTCCCCTTAAGGCAAGGCAAGTTTATTTATATAGCACCTTTCAACACAAGGCAATTCAAGGTGCTTTACAAAAAAGAAAGACATTCAGACAAAGGCATTAAAAACAGTAAAAGATAATAAAAGAAACATTAAAAGAAAAAATACATGAATAAAAAGTACATGAATAAAAAGTAAACTTTTACTCCTAACAGTCATCATCATGTCAACCACAACACAGAGAAATACTGATATAAATGTGTGTGTAGTTGTTGATACATTGCTGACAGAGGGAACTATATTTGAATACAGATTTAAGAAATATCAGTTTTTGAGCATGTCATAAGCATGTTTTGTCTTGACTATATTACAACAATATTATAATAAAATAATATATTTATATTATTGAATTGATTATGATTATTATTATTATTAGTAGAAGTAGTTTATTTGCATTAATTATATTTTAATCTTTTTGAGGCTAGTATTTGGCAGGAAATGCAGACGTATTCACCTGTAAACGCATACTGAGCGACATACATGCACATTTACCATTTACCTCACTGTATAAAAAAAGTGTTGATAATAATAATAAACAGGAATTATATTTGCAAAGTAGCCTACTTTGTTTCCAAAAACAACTGTCGGTTGGGGGGGGGGCCTCATCTCACAATGTCGCTTGGGGCCCCAAGTTGGCCAGGGGCGGCCCTGCCTAAGGGCTTATATATTTGGTGAGATGTCCTAAAACAATTTAGCTTCTAGGTTAAATAATTAAAATATGGAAACATTAAGATTCAAGAAAATACTCAAGTTACTCGTGAGTATTTTCTATTTTTTAACTGCCGTGTTAACTCACATTTTGAGCCCCCTCAGAATAGACTATTGTGTGGATGTGGCGTTAATCAATGGAGTCCCTTTTTGTTTGGTTGACCCTCTGAGTTTCAGAGTCACGAGGACTGACCCTGATCAATAACAGTCAACAGCAGGAAGACACCAGACCAGCTCCCTCTTCACACATCATCAATTTAACATGTGTCAGCAGCACCATTCATCATCACAGATGTTTCAACATAATGATTACGCACTATCTGAGAATGATATGCAGACAAGAGGGTCAAACTCCAGGAAACAATGAAATAGACTATTTGAACCTCAAAAATAATATGACACAATATATAAACGTACCTTACTATATTGAATAAATCAAGAATAGGTTTTTAGATATTTTATTAATAGAAGAATTAAATACAAAAGCATGGCAGAACGTTTCCGCCATGTGCACCACACAACCACATTTAGAATACAAATATAACAGTATGACATTTTTATTCATAGTGTTGATATAAAGTCACATTTTATTTTTTTTAACTCAATAAACTGTTTAAAGCTTAAGTGACGGTTGATGCATCGACAAAGGTGACCGATGCAGAGATGTATTTATGTTCAATTTGTCTGCATCAATAAGTCAGATGGGATTTAGATGTTGGTTTACACATGCAAAAACAGCAACATTATTCATCTACCACATTTTCATTTTTCATTAAAGTGAGAGGACTTCAGCGGAGGCTAGAAACCCTGCAGCCCTCTTCCACCACTCACGGTTAATACAAGTTAACAGACAATAATGGGATATGACAAACCATATATTTTACTCTGGGTGGCAGTCAGGGCTGTTTTAGGGAGCACCAATACAATTTAATTTTCGTTTTCACATGTGATCCAAGTATTTCTCCCTGGTGTTATTTACTGTACAGAATTCAGAATTCATTTTCTGTGCTCGAAGTGACAGAAGTGTTTGTGTCACAGCCACAGAAAGGTGTGTGTGTGTGTGTGTGTGTGTGTGTGTGTGTGTGTGTGTGTGTGTGTGTGTGTGTGTGTGTGTGTGTGTGTGGTGTGTGTGTGTGTGTGAGGTGTGTGTGTGTGTGTGTGTGTGTGTGTGTGTGTGTTGTGTGTGGTGTGTGTGTGTGTGTGTGTGTGTGGTGTGTGTGTGTGTGAGGAGGGGAGAGAAGTGTGAGGTGAACTAGCTTCGTGTGGAAAGTCAAGTCGTATCAATAAAAGAGCAAAAGCTAACTGAGCTGCTTTATTTCCATTCTAAACAAGACAAATATATATGTAGTACTTCTGTTACATAAACTGCATTACCATCATAAAGTAATACGTTAGGAATCACTCAATTAGAAGTAATTATGACTCAGCTGTGTGCAGTGGCAGCTGCCAGTGGAAGTGTTACTTGCAATGAAGCAGACATATTAAAGGTGTAAAAAAGGGAGGGTTCCTCTCTCTCCTCAGACGGAGTACTTCACACCCATGGAGTAGCTACCAGAACAAACTAAATGCACATTCATGTTCTTCAGCCTCCACAGGGGGGAACAAAAACCCTTCCCTGCCATTTCAGCAGACAGTATGGCCAAGCTGCCGCAGTCCTCATATAAGAAACTCAGTCTTTTCAAGTATATGAGGTTTGGATGAACAACATTTTAACTAACACTGCTGACAGCCTAAGAGAAACAGGATGACGGACTAGAAGGAACAACAAACATCGTTTCGAAAAGGGAAATAAATGAACCGTGAGGGGAAAACACCACTAAAAGCTTTCAGTAAACTCCAGTCACTGTGCAGATGTGTAACCCCTTTGCTCTGCCATCATCTGTTGCCTTTATTAATAACACAAACGGTTGCTCACTACAGGATGAGAGTGGTTTGTCTCTTACAGAAAAGCACACAGCAACAACAGCAGCAGCAGACATTAAAGAGTGTTTTTTTTATAAATACAGGGGACATGAGAAGAAGCAGGAGCAGCATCCCATCAGTATCAGATTAAGGCTGTGGAACTGAAGAGGTGATTCAGTAGAAATAGGCTGAAGCTCTTCACAGCAGCAGAGACTATTAGATACTGTATAAACCCCAAGAGAGACTGACGCACACAGGATACACCAGAGACGTAAACAAGCCAGCAAAGAGGGCCTCTTTCAGTACAGGTGACATTCAAAAAGCATGATGAACCCTCTTGATTTTCAACAACAACCACGTCAACAGCATATCAGCTGAGCAAAGTCCTCTGAGTTTCTAACAGAGCTGCCAAATCCCCATGGAGCTGGAATTCGGACATGCTTTGTGTTAGCCTACGATAACTCTGCACCTCCACCAGGGGGCTCAACCTCCTCCTACTCCTCTCCACGTCCCGCTGAAACAAGTCCCTACACCTCTGGAGTCCCTTCACAGATCCTGGTTCAGGGGTCTCCTCGTGTCCCAGGCTATCCCTCCCCTCCTCTTTATCAGTAAGCAGCGATGACACACAGTCTCTGAGCGACACCACCTCTCTCTCCAGTGCCAGAGACAACATTTGAGCAGCTTCCTGTCCTCTTGTACCTTTGACAGGCTGGATGGAGCAGCACGCAGGGAGGAACGCCAGAAGAGAGTTCAGGAACTGGAGGGTCTGTAACTGGCTGCAAAGGAAAAACAGAGACACAATTTGCACGTTATAATATTATGTTGCAATAGATAGAAACATGTCTGAGTTTCTTTATGTCTATTTATAATGTATCATTCATCAGCTGCTTCATACTCACCTACCTGTTCAGTGTTGATTTGCAGAATTTGTCATTTTAAGTGCTGGGCAGAGAATCACTTTGATATTCAGTGGAATATCACACTGACACGCTTCCCAGTCAACTTTGAATCCATTAATATAAATTGAGCGGCAGTGCCCACCTCTACTACCTTCCTTAGTTCTTTTAAATACAATTGAATAATTCAGTACGAGTCCCTCGTAGTAGTGTTTGAACCAGAGCAGTAATATCATTTGCAAATTATTAGGAAATATCTATAATGGACAAGATAGTCTATGTTTTTTACTTTATGACACTGTTAACGTAATGGCATAACCAGTAGGATAACCAAAGAAAGTTCAACCTAATAGAAAAATGTAAAGTGCATCGGTGCTTCTCCATTTAATGGACGGACATGAACGTGAGTGACGCAAAACAACATTCTGCCAAAGGTCAGGTGCCACACTGTTGCACGGATGGCAGGTGGCTATAATGCACCAATAGGAGAAGACTGCTAGTAAAGAGAGCAAAAATAATCAAATGATTGATTCTGACATTTTAACAATCAAATGATAACCCAAATCCTTTAAAAAAACGTAATAGGAGATGAACCTATATAGCTGTTAATTGATGCCTTACTAGTAAGTAAATATGGATGTATGTGACGAAGGTAACTATAGGTTACTTACGTAACCCCAGTTCTCAGAGTAACATGAAGTGAGATGTCTCACTATGGGATGCGCCTCATCGCGGAGCAAACAGAAGCATCAATCTCATTACACCAATCCTGATTGGCTGGTGATCTTGACGTCAACGTCAGGGAATCACCCCCTATAAGTAGCTTGCGCCACGACGCATGCGTCATTCAAAATAAGCACCTCTTCTCGCTTCACCATAGCAAGGAGGGCCGTCTGGTGAGACATCTCACTTCATGTTACTCTGAGAACTGGGGTTACGTAAGTAACCTATAGTTCTCATTCATAACACTCCGTTCGATGTCTCACTATGGGAAATTGTAGCTCCCGTATTGCCAGACGAGCTTATCTCGAAAATCACCAACCAACCAGAACTTAACAGGTAGAGTCCCGACTCAACAAGGTGCCCAGCACTGCTCGGGCCACGCTTGGAGCGGAGACGTCTAGCCTGTAAAAGCGGACAAAAGTGAGCGGCGAGGACCAGCTTGCCGCTGCACAGATGTCTTGGATGGAAACACCCTTGAACAAAGCCCAGGATGTAGCCAGGCCCCGAGTCGAGTGAGCCTGCAGACCCGAAGGTGCTTGCAAACTCTGACTCGTATAGGCCAAAGCAATTGCCTCCACAATCCAGTGGGAGAGCCGTTGCTTAGTAACATGCTTGCCCTTGTGAGGGTTAGCCCAGGACACAAAGAGTTGGTCATTAAGACGAAGCTCCTTTGATCTGTCCATATATGTGCGTAAAGCACGGACTGGACACAACAGATCCTGCTGCTGTTCCCCGGAGGAAACCAGCGGCGGAGGAAATGCCTTAATGTCAATTGGGGTACACGAACCAACCACCTTTGGTGTAAAGGCAGGGTTGGGCTTCAACAACACTTGTTTGCCCTGGGGCGAACTGAGTGCATGAAGGATGTACAGACAGCGCATGAATATCACTGACCCACTTGGCGGATGCCAGGGCCAGTAACAGCACTGTCTTGAGTGACAGATGTTTCATGTCAGCTCCTTCCAGGGGTTCAAATGGGGTCATTCTGAGCCCATTTAAAACCACTGCCAAGTCCCATAAGGGCACCAGTGACCTGGAGACAGGGAGGAGCCTGCGAGCTCCCTTCATAAAACGGCAGACCAAAGGATGTTGGCTAGCCGTCTTACCCTCAAAGCCCACATGGCATGCAGCAATAGCAGCCAGGTACACCTTGATCGTGGAGAAAGCTCTGTGTTTATCGATCAAGTCCTGTAGAAATGATAAAATCACCCCGACAGGACATTGAAAGGAGATGTGTCCTTCTTGAAGGCACCACTCCTCAAACACCCTCCACTTACAGTCATAAAGAGACCTGGTGGAGGAAGCTCTCGCACTCTGAATAGTGTTTATCACCTTCTGAGGGAGTCCCACTGTATTCAGATTGTACCACTCACGGGTCAGGCCCATAGTGCCCCGCGCTCTGGGCGTGGGTGAAGGATCACCCCCCCCGCCTGAGACAATCTGTCCCTGCGTAGCGGGGGCTGCCATGGCTGCCCGCACAACAGCTGATATATCTCCGCCAGCCCGTACGTTGCGGGCTAGGGCGGAGCCATCAGGATAAGTGTGTGGCGTTGCTCCTTCACTCTGGCCAGAGTTGGGGGTATCAGAGCCAGGGGTGGGAACGCGTACAGAAGACCCGGAGGTCAATCGTGTACGAGTGCGTCCACGCCTAACGGTGCGTTTAAATCGTGCATTAAAGAGAACAGCTGTCATTGAGGATTTTGTCTTTATGCGAACAGATTTAACGCGGCTCTGCCATAACGCACCCTCAGCGGACTCACGATCCTTGGATGTGGAGTCCAGTCTGCATAGAGTGGTGCACCTCTGGACAGTAGTTCTGTCACTCACACATGCGTCGCTCTCAGAGAGAGGAGATGTCTGCCGCTCCAAGGGATCAGTTGGTCTGCCAGTGTGTGTGACTGGAGACAACGCAACCTCCCTTGGCGGTTCATACACGATACTGTGGTCGTGTTGTCTGTCCTCACGAGGACATGGTGTCCTCTGAGAGAAGGCAGAAAGCGTTTTAAGGTGGGGAACACCGCTAAAAGCTCCGGGTGATTTACGTGCGCCCGCTGGAGGTCTCTGCTCCAGAGACCCCTCACCGGGCGACCTTCGTAAATACCCTATCAGCCTGTCAGACATGCGTCCGTGGTGACCACCTTCCGTGAAAGGACAGCACCCGTAGGCGCGCCCCGTACTAGAAAAGTCGGGTGCGGCCAGTGGCGTAGTGCCACTACGCATTTCATAATAACCAATACTCTCCGCACGCCGTGGCGCGCGGGGTTTAGTTTTATTATGAGACCCATGTTGAGCAGGTGCTTTACGAGGACATTTGTCTGTGTAATCTGACTCTGAGAATCTCTCTCTCCAGAATATGGGTTGACTCTCCCCGGCTTGTGAATACAGATAGCCCGAGAAGCGAGGGGGGGTGACGGTGACTTGGAGTCTGTAGCTCCGTGTAACTGTCTTGAGAAACCCAAGCAGATGTCGTGAGCATCTCCCGCTGTATGCTCCTTAGAGCCAGCTGAGATGTCACGTCTCTTCCCCTCTGAGTCTCTATTTGTTGTGTTATGGGGCCCTCCAGTGTCTGAGCACTGTGGTGCCCCATTTCGACAATCCCCACCGACACAGCGCATGCGTGTGGCGGTGGTGCCCTTACGGCTCCAGCCGGCACTGCGCATGCATGTGACGGTGGTGCCTTTACAGCTCCAGCTGGCACTGCGCATGCGCGTGACGGTGGTGCCTTCACGACCCCAGCCGGCACTGCGCATGCGCGTGACGGTGGTGCCTTTACAGCTCCAGCCGGCACTGCGCATGCGCGTGACGGTGGTGCCTTCACGACCCCAGCCGGCACTGCGCATGCGCGTGACGGTGGTGCCTTTACAGCCCCAGCCGGCACTGCGCATGCGCGTGACGGTGGTGCCTTCACGACCCCAGCCGGCACTGCGCATGCGCGTGACGGTGGTGCCTTTACAGCCCCAGCCGGCACTGCGCATGCGCGTGACAGTGGTGCCTTTACAGCCCCAGCCGGCACTGCGCATGCGCGTGGCAGTGGTGCCTTCACAGACCCGTCAATTGTCCGCCCTTTGAGAGAGGCCGTAGCTGCTCTCAGAAGGGGAACAGCTGACGGACTGTTTATTGTTTTGCTTTTCATTTTCTCGAGCTGCGCCCTTGGCTCGAAGCCTGGATGCGTCAGCGGAAAATGTTTTATGACAGAAAAATCAATAAGTGTGTGACATGTGTTTATGCGGACTTGAGGATGGTGTTGAGGCATCTCTCGAGGCGGCGGGAACACATTTAGAGCTGGGGAACCGTAGACTTCCAGCTCTGTCACAGAGGGGAGAAGGAGGGGCTGTCACGCCGCTCGCTTCTTCTTCCTCGACTGCTGGCCGAAATTCTGGGTTGGCTGCGCCTGGACTGCAGCCGGAACCGGAGATTTTCTAGGCCAGCTCGCTGCGACCTCTGCGTTTTCGGTATTTTGAACCGAGCAGGGTTCGGGGCAGCTTGGACGAAGGGCTGCCGCTGCGAAGGCAGCGGCTGGGCCCTTCGAGGGAGGCAGAGGTGGAGGGCCTCGTCCTCCTTCTTTTTCGACTCGCATCTCCTCTGCATGGAGGCAAGAGCGGAGCCGAAAATCCCCTCGGGAACGATGGGCATGTCAAGCACATCCTCCTTTTCCCGGTCTGGGAGGTTGGTGAGGTTGAGCCATCTAGCTCTTTCCTGCACCACCATGATCCCCATTGTTTTGCCCGTGGCCTGGACGGCGCAGCGTTGGACACGGAGACAAATGTCTGTGACCGCGGCCAACTCGTCCAGAACGGCCGGTCCAGGATTAATCGACATATCCTCACAGAGCTCTGCTTGGTATGCGGTTAGCAGTGAGGAAACGTGGCCTGGCGGACAACGCTGCGGCTCTGTAGGACCGTTCAGTCATGGTCGACTGGAAACGGTCCACCTTCGCTGGCAGCGTGGGGTTCCTGCTTGGTGACGTCCCATCCTCGGTAGGAGGTGGGCTGCCACCAGCAGTTCCATCGGCGGTATGCGGAGCAGGCCGAGCCTCTCCATACCGTCGCAGTCTAGGGAGGAGGCACCCTGGATTGGGGCCTTGTTGCTAAAGGGTCGGTCCCTCCACGAGACCGACACCTCATCCAACATCTCCGGGAAGACCGGGAGGAGTTGCCTCCTTGTCCTCGTTGCGGGGAGAATGTTTCCCCTCGTAACGGGACCTGGCGGTCTCCTTGGCCATTTCGGGCCACGGGATGTCTAGCCTGGACACAGCGCGCTGACACGCGGCCTGCAGGTCCATGCTCAGACAGGGCGAAGCTGGTGTGCTATCGCCCGGGAGAGCAGCCATCGCTCCCGGCTTTGCCGTTTGAGCCGATGACATGAAGATATCTTCTTCTTGCTCATCCGAATCAGACAGGAGGGACTCAGAGGTGTCCTCTTCGTCCTCCATGTAGTCTAATTCCAGGACATCCTCCGCGGGCGAGACCATGGTGAGGTCTCGCCGGGAGCTCCCGCCTGGTGAGGCGTGGGGCTCCGTTCCCGCGTCTCTTGCCGCCACCGGGTCCCGGCCTGACACGGCGTGGGATCCCGGTTCCGCAGCTGCCGCTGTTAGTGAGCCCCAGACCGACACAGTGAGGGGCTCAGTCTCTGCGGCGGACGCCCCCGTGTCTTGATTGCCAAACGGCGAATCAGTGGACATGAGGGAGTCCTGTTCCAACAAGCTAGCTTGGTGTGCTAGCCGTCGGTGGAGGCTCTTTCGGATGAAACGGGCAAAATGCCCGCACGAGCCGGGGTTGTCGATAGCTTCCTGGGCGTGTTCCAGCCTGAGGCAGGACGAGCAGACCTGGTGTGAGTCTGTGCCTGCTATCTTCAACCCGCAGCCGCATGACCGAGCCTCTGAGTCCCTGACTCCTCTGGTGTGAGGGGGAGAGGCGTCCATCTTGTTCGCCTCGTGGCGTGGAGAGGACCCGCTCGTAACAGGTACGTCGTTGAGAGAAAAGTGTTACCAACCCGTCCTTAATCCGGAGAAAAAGGGACGGTGTGGGTCCTTTGTTCTCAAAGAATATTGACTGGTGTGTCAATATACTTCTAATCCTTTTCTCCTCCGTGAGAGAGAAAAAGAAAAGCGTCCTCGCTACCGTGGTGTCGGTAGTAAGGGGAAGCTAGCTAGCAACAGGTGCGTAGCTAGCTTGAGAAAAATCAAAACCTTACCTTACTTTCCGGGGAAAGAAACGGCGAGGTCGATTTTAATACTAACTGCCGTTAGTATTACCGTCTTCTTGCGAAGCAGAAGGAGCAGCCGGCGAGCGCCCGTCGACCGAAATGTTTTGGATTTGGGTTCAGTCTGTGGACTGTTAAGCTTGTCCGGCTACTGTAGAGATGTGCTCTGAAGCGAGAAGAGGTGTTTGAATAACGCATGCGTCGTGGTGCAAGCTACTTATAGGGGGTGATTCCCTGACGTTGACGTCAAGATCACCAGCCAATCAGGATTGGCGTAATGAGATTGATGCTTCTGTTTGCTCCACGATGAGGCGCATCCCATAGTGAGACATCGAACGGAGTGTTATCAGGCCGGGTAATATTGCACTTTATTAGCGTGATTGCACAGTACAGTTGACATTACATATTTGCACATAATTTATACTAATTATTGAGGTAGTATCTTTTAACTGATTAAACCGTATTTATTGGAATGTCGTCTGGCAGGTGCTGGTCGGGTCCTCGGCTCCGCCTGAAAAGATTGGGGAGTTTGCGAGAGCGCAGAGAGTAGTTATGCTGGTGTAAGGATGACAGCGGTTGAGAGTAATCAGGGTGCAAATAATATGTTGATGTCTGTGGCTGATGATTGTGTGCACCTGGTGTTCTGTGTTGTCTCCTCCCCCCTCACCTATGTCTTGTTAGTATGTGTGTATTTAGGTGCCGTTTCCTTGTAACTGGGTGTGTGAGATCCTGGTGGCTGCAGGATGTGTGCAAGGAGAACAGCAGGATTGAGGCTGTGATCTTTGTGCACATGATTTTAATAAATGCCCACGTCGGGTTATATTTTTGGACGTTCTGCTTCTGCCTCCTTGCTTAGTCTGGGCCGCTCAACGGTCAGTCTCACAATGTAACGAATGCAGGTTTCTAAATATTCCAAAAATCAGCTTTGCAAACACTTTATGAGAGGAAATGGATAAACCATTTGTTGCAAGCCACACTATTTCACATTGATTTCACTTAACTGACATGATTATGGCCAATCTCTTCATTCTACCAACACTTACAACTCGGAGGCAGTACTGACAACTTAGAGCTTCTTTTAAAGAGAGTTATTTACCTGGAGTGGACTGACAGTTCCCCCTGGAATGGGGTTATCTGATGCCAGTGAAGCAGCATGAGAGGAGATGGTCCTGAAGAATTTAACAGAAGATACTGAGGGCTCACTGCCAACCTCTTACAGCCCTCTCTTCTCTGAATCCAGCCATCCACATCACCTAGGCTGTGATCTGGAGAGTCTATGAGGAAGACCCAACGATCCAGCACCGCCATCAAACTCAGCAAGTCTTCTTCAACCTCATCTGGGCACAAACAAAGAAGACAACAATGAACAAACACAAGCCAATTGTTTAATCTCAAATTGAGTGTATTTTTGGTATTACCTGTTTTGAGTTCAGGGTTTTTTAACAGTCTGGTTTGGAAATCACTGTGGATGTCTAAAGCAACTTGACCACAATGCAGGACCACCGGTTTTGGGTTGCACACAGGGGCAAAAGCATCTTGTCTCTGGACGTAATGGAGCACGACACGGCACTTGACAAAGCCAGAGGTCAACAGAGGTGTCAGCCTGGACACAGCAGTCACAGCAAGTCTGCATGTGTTGAGATCATTGGCTCTGCCTGCCTTGTGCTGCTTGCTTCTTTTGGCTGCAGGCTCTGAATATGTGGAGGCAGATGAGGAGGAGGATGATGAGGAGGAGGAGCGGGGCGCAGGGAGCAAGAACACTTGGCTTTGGGTTTGGATGACTGCAGGCGTTGAGCTCTGACCCGCCTCTGTCAGGATGGATAAGCTCACACTGGCCGATGGTCTAGAGCAAAAATAACACATCATAAAACATATCAGATATCACATGGACAGTAGGGTATCATACTGAAATCACTTCTTTTTTTAAATGCCTGACAGCTTGAGAACTGATTAAAAACACCAACATCTCCAGGTGGCGACATGCCATCAGCTGGACAAGTGCAATCCAAACAGCATTAGGGAGCAATTAGGCCAGAAGTAGCTTTCCTCCACATGTTCACAGATAAAAACAGGAACAGGTGGAGAGAGGACTCTGATAAGTTTCAAAAAAGGAAATTGGAGAGTAATTAAATAACATGTTGCATTGATGACCAGTTTACCACGCTGCATTTGCCTTCGATAAATATATATTTGGCAGCAATCAAAGAAGCAATAATGGGTCAGAGCTGTTGTTGACTGAGATTAACAGACTAAGATTGAATTAATCATGTAAAAAAACTATGAACACAGGTAGAAATTGTACCTCACAAATGTGATTAATTTGATATAATTTGTCCACCTGCATCATTTTTTTTTATTTCTGACAAATGTTATCAGGAAGTATTGATATGGTCTGACAGCTAGACATAAGCACTTCTCACTAGACTTAAAAGTGGAGTGCCATTTATTTGTGCCTGTATCTTTATCATAATAAATCAACTACACTTTTAGTCTTTTAGAAGAACTGCCGATAAGTGTTTAGATAATGTCATATTCAAGGAATATTTAAGAAGGCTGATGCCTCGGTGAATACAGCTCACACATTCTTCACAGACATTGCATTTCAATTAAAAAACAAATGATGTTTACATTGAGCTGTCAGTAGTTAGTATCACTCCCACAACCATTCGCTCCTCGGTAATGCGATGCCACAGCTTGTCAACTTGAGGTTTTGAAAGCCCTGCTGGCATATCTTGTGTCTTGTCAGCCATGGCCTCATCCTTTGACTCATCACAGTCCCACAGAGCAATAAGGCCTTCCTGGACAGAAGGTGAAAATACTATAATCAGCGATGACAGTGTGTGACAGCATTGACAGCAATAGCAGTTTATGTCAAATATTTCAATTTGCCCAGGTACATATTTAGTGGACTTTCATAATACTATTCAAAAACAAAGAGTGTGCCAGTGATACTCTCTGTCAAATACAGTAGAATTATTCCTGGCATATTTATTGAATTCCTTCAGGCCACATTCATCATTTGATCTGTGTGGCAAGTCTTGTGACCACAGCAAAAGGAAATTAAAGCAACAGTAAGAAAAACATTTAAAATAAAAAACATTAAATGACATCAAGCCGTTTGCATTTATTGCCTGTATTTGCTTCCTCAATGCCTCAGGCAGGAATAGGAGCAATTACTACATCAGCCTCATGTGAGATGCCATTTCAAATATGAAAATGTATTAACATGAGTGACAAATGCTGGAGTAAAAAGAACTGAGGGGGAGGAGGGCGGGACTAACAGTAATACAAATCTCACCGTTTTTTTTTTTGTGTGTGTTCTTAAATTCCCCCAAAAATGTATTATAAAATGTATCGCATTGAAGTTGCTAACTGATTTGAAATGCATGTCAGTGTTACAGATATATTATTATCATAGATGCAACTGAAAACAGCACCAGCTAATACCATGTGATAAGACTTTATGTTATCTAGTCTTAGTGCTAGAGAGGGCACCTTTCTGGGATAGAGACACATTTACTTACAGCGGTGGGATCAAATCAGACCTGCGGTACCTTGCTGCATGTTGTCCACACTCTATCCCCCTTTTACGTCTATCTTCAACTGCACTAATATAAGGAGAAAATACCAATATTCTGTACCTGCTCAGGCTGGGTGAGAATCGTCTCTCTTTCTGAGACCACGTTGGTAAGGGCTTGGACGGACTGCTGTAGAACTCTGTCCTTCACTCTCAGCTCCCTTTGAAGATCCTGGAGCACGCTCAATCCACTCTGCAAACAGATCACAGTTGAGAGTCTATATTAGATCTATATTATAGATGAAACACACATTGAGGGTCTACGAGAACGTTTCCCCCCAGATTTAGTTTTTTGAAAGTTTAATTTCAAAATCTCTCGTAAAAATAACCATCGCTAAATGTACTATAAGCATAATATGGTGTTATGGGTTAACTTCAATATTTTTACAGTATTAATACAATACTTTTCTGACATCTTCAGTATATACACATCATTTATATTGTAATGTATGTCGACCTACATGTGAATTATGGCCAACAATATCTATGTGTTCTAGAGATGCAATAAACTAAGGCCTGGAATTATTTGAATGAAACTATTGATAAGATGTTCCAAACAACCATGCAGTGATGTACCTAGGGAATAAAGGTCTAAAAAGAACAGACATCAGAATTGTGCTTATTGACAACAAAGGAGCTCTATGAAGCTGAGCCTCCAGGGAAAGAACAATGGTCTTAGATTGTCCAGGCTATCTTTTTAATGAAAAGCAGACATAACAGTTTAAATTAATGACAAGAATGAGAAAGTGTGTACTGCCCTCAACAAATGATTTTAAATTGTAGTTTATTTTGTGATGTGTTGTATGAAATGAATACTCATAATGTTCTGTCCAAAAAAAAAGAACTATATATAATAAAGCCATATGCATTTTCAGTAATATGAACAAGAGTTCACCTCTTTACATCATTTTGTTCATTTGTCCTTTTGCGTCATTAATTCATTTTTTTGTAAAAACCATATTATGATGTAATAATATCATTAGGATATATGATTGACTATGCTAAAAGCATTGTTTTCCTTTCCAAAAGACTAGTGCTGTCGGTCCAGTAATAGATTAGGAATGCTTACCTGTAGTCTGGACTCTAGAGCTCTAAGGGTGAGAAGATCGTTCTCTGGTGGAGGAGGCGGAGTCTTTGGTGCACCACCGTCCTGACCACGCTGAAAAGTGTAATTAAATCAGTTAGCTGACCACCAACCAATGTTTTCTCTAATAATGAAAATATCCACATGACGAGTACATGTTATGCCTTACAGAATATGAAATGCCACAAAGGTCAGTGAGGAGATATTTTTCTATAGGCTGTCCTGTTGTGCCTTGATTATTAAAAACCAACAGCATCTGGTCTGTTCCACATCCCAGGAAGTCATCCACATGAACAGAACTGACACTTGACCAGTGGGAGGCTATCTGGGGGAGAGAGTTTACAAAGTAGGCTTAGAGAAGGAGAGTCAAGCAGAACATAGAATTAAAATAAAGATATTTAACATTGGTTTACCTGAAATGTTTCCTTGCGAATAGCACATACATGCCCCTGGTAAAAAGATACGACAAAGAGGCAGCCATTTCTCCCTGTGTTGACCATCTGAATGTGTTCAGCTTGTTCAAAGGGGAGCTGACACACATCTTTCACAATGCCATTCTCAAAATATACAAGTTGCTGATTAGAAGTTGCTGCAACCAAAGTGGATTCCAGCACATCATCCACTTGTTCAGCTGACAGCACCAAGATGCACCGTGTGATGCAAACATAGGGATGAGGCAAGACCATAGAGCCATCAAACACATGTCCACTTTCAACAAAATAACCCAGGGTTTGTCCTGTGGACTGAGTATTTGAGCAATGGTCTGAAAGTGTTTTTAGTCCAAGAACAAATACCTGTTCTTTGTGGAGGGGAAGTTCTCCAATAACACTATGGGACAACTCAATGGGTATCTGTTTCACCTCTCCTGCCTGCAGAGATGCAAAGAAGACATTCCCAGCATGGCTCCACAACACTGTGGGGCCCTGGAGGATAGACACATTCTCCTTCATTTGATAAGGGAGTTTAAACTCAATGCAGGGCTCCAGTCTGTTAGAGCTGCTCAGTGTGAGAAGACTATAGTGGAAACTTCCCCCCCCTTTCGCTTTTCTTTGTCACTAAAATGCACGGCATGGCGACTCTCTTCTGAACGTTTATGGCACATTTACATTTTACAATATCCACACGCGCAGATCTCTTCCTGCTGATGACAGCTGCTCCATCAGCTGCCTTCAGGAACGTGTTGTCTTCCCGTTCAAATGAAAGACTGCAGAATATTAACTCACTTTTTTCGCTGTCATGTGTGGCTGAAGCTCGTTTACAGTTAAATAAGATTATCTTTCCAAAGAGGGAAAGACGATGGAGATTTAGATACACATCTGCCGAGGGTAATAACTCCATTATGCAAGAGGGAAGCTTCGGATGCCGACCTGGTTCGATCTTTCCTTATTGACAAGCTGAGTTAACGGTATTGCTAAGCTTGGAGCTGTCACTCTCATGACAGAAGCCTCAACAATATGTACATATTGACGACTAGTTGCTAAATGTACTTGTGAGAAAGAAACTAAGCCGTATTGAACGTTGCATAGAGACTGTTGCACACTCGAAGTGGCGCGCCAACTCAAATCGAACGCTTCCTGTCAGTCCAAGTGCATTGTGGGTAAGACTGATAAACAACAGTGAGTTGACGATATTACGATAAACAGTTATCCGCGCTAGTCATAATTAAACGAATCGACTGCATGAATGATTAGATATAAATCCTTTTGCTGAGTACAGTTGAACACTCCATCTGCCCTTTTACTTTAAACAAACAACACAGCGGAGAGGTGTGGCTAATGCTGGAGCCAAAATGGCTACGACAGGACGGTAGTTTCTCAGTTTGCACTGATTATCCTGAACTAAACGTTAGCTGAGTAGCTAGCTTAACAGGGAACCAGCTCAGAGACGGAAACCCGGTGACAGGGGAACATGGCCGAACTTGAGCAACACGAAGGAGAGCAGGTAACGTTAACTACCGTTAGTAATGCGTTAGTTAATCTGTCTAATCAAAAGACGTGTCTCTGTAACATAAAACTACTCTGTTTTGACAGGACATTAAGAAGAAAATTGAGGAGACGAGACAGAAATTTAAGAATGAGTTCCTGCAAGGTAACTCACTTATTATGTCATTTGACATACACTTGCTCCCTGACCAGCCACTTGCAAATGCAATAATGTGGCGGTAATGTTATCTTCAAATATAATGTTAACTGTTACTAAAAGTGAACGATCTGTTGCTTCACTTTCATTTTGTGAACATCATGACCTAAATGCTCAGAGCTTAGATAAGCTCCAATATACAACTAACCTAGCTAACTCTTTATTACCACATGCAGCTAGTTGTTTTTGACTAATACAGCATGTGTATATATCGTTATGACCTCTAGGTGAACTTTATATGAGTTGACAGCACAATGTGGTCATTTATGGCTTCAGCAGTATTTTAAAGTATAAAACACTCTATGTTTTGGAAGTGAACCCTTGTGTTTGACCTTTTTGTATGCCGAGCGTCATGTGACTAAGCACTTACAGGGTTGTGTTTACAGAATCGACGGATAAATATGACTCCAGAGATGTGGAAAGGCTTGACAAAGATGATGCCCTAGTGGAGGGCTACCTTCAATGGAGACTTTGTGTTGTCGAAGATGCCTTGAAATTAATTGACGAAAGTCTTCAGTGGAGAAAGGAATTTGGTGTAAATGGTAAGAACTTTGAAGTCATGCTTAAAAGTGTGTCTTATGATATGAAAATTGTTACCTAAAAGTGGGGCTAGGCAATCTTAGTTCCAATCTTGAGTACAATATTTTGGAATTTTTGTTTGTAGTTTTTCAAAATCATGATAGATAGATTTCCACTGAAGCAGAAGTGTGTTTAGACTTTATAATACAATACTTTAAAAAGTGGAAAAGAGAATTAACAATTAAAAATAAAAGGAAAAATATGATTAAAAGAAAACAATATAAAATATTCTGGATAATTTTTTTTAAAAAGTCAAAAATACAACGGGATCTACATGACCAAGATAATGAATCAGACCAATGATATATTTTGGATACTGTAACATTTCCTTATCTAGTGCGACATGCATAGCTTCATCAGTGTCAAGTTTAACCGGTCCGTTCTAAGTAAATGTTGACATGCAATGTTTATTTGTTGTTGGTTGAAGGTTTCGACAGACATCAGCGGTTGTCTTTGTGCTGCTCTAGAATGAATCCGGACAGAGTTCCATTGTGTGTTAAACACCCATATCGCCTTGCAAAGGCTATTACCCCCGAGAACAAGCCCCACTCTCTCTGTTTCCTGAGGAATTTCCCAGAGTTTGTTAGTCTTTAATCCAGCTAATTCAATATGGCAATTAGTTGTTTTAGTATAACTTGATATAATTAAGTCATGTTGTTAAGTTTGTTTATTGATCTATTGAAAGGGATTGAAGCACTTTAGGTTATAGGGAAGCTGGGATCCTCAAAAAAAAATTGTTTTAAGTATTAAATAATAACTGCGAAACACCTCTTGCTCTAAAATGGAAAAGTGCATCTGTCCAGTCCTGGTTCACCTACATGAATGTTACAAACCAATTTGAATAATATTTATATTATAAATTCCGATGACTTATCTTTGGGAATAATGCAGATTCTTATCAACCCGGATCCTCAATTGATTAACTGCTTACAGAAAGTATTGATGGTCATTAAAATCATTATTTTCTACAAAATAAGCTAGTTATTGCTAGTGATAGCAAATTGTTGTCAGTTATTGTTGTGTGATATTTATAAAAATCTCACAATACAGTTTTTTGTTAAAATTATTTGGAATTAGGAAGTTTCTGAGAAACGAAAAGGCAACTATTCAAAGCCTAACAATTCTATGAATGTAGTAACAAGCATCATTTTTTTTTTTATAACTTGAACTTGCTATAGTTACAGTCACTGAGAAAAAAATATAAAAAAACGTTTAGTTAAGGAAGTTCATTGGATATAACTTTTTAGAGTACACTATATCATCTCCATATTCTTATACACAATTTACTCTGCTTTCATGCAATAATGTGCCTTTACTAACACGCAGCGGACTGGAGTAGATCCTGAAGTTAGCACCCATATGCACCGAATTGCACTGAAAACTGAATTGTGAGATGCCAAAAGATTCACACCCTTCCAGACATGATAACAATTATTAAATTACGAAAAACGTAAAGAGTTATACTTTAAATATGATGTGCCTTTCAAATTTAGATAAGTAGTTAAATTCAGAAGCCAATAGTCTTGAAGAAAACTATTTCAAACAACTTCAGCCCTTAGCCTACAATTCATGTTCTGTACAGCTAATATTTAAAGTATGTCAAACACCAGTTAACAGTGTTGTGTTTCTGCCTGTGTTTCAGATCTCACTGAGAGCGCCATCCCCAGATGGATGTTCGAGACTGGCGCTGTCTATCTCCACGGCTATGACAAAGAGGGCAACAAACTCTGTATGTACATGTTCTATTAGAGCCCTCCTTACAGTACACTCTTAAACATGTTCAACTTAGCGTTTCTTTACAAGTTATCTGTTGCATTAAGATTCTCTTCACAAATATACAACTTTTATTTTTTCAACTTTTCTTCTTGCAATATACTTATTTATATAAATAGTTATCCAAGCAATAAACCGTATTTAATTTAGTCTTAATTTACATTATTTTATTTAACATTCTGTTCTTGTACATATGATATTCTATTTACATGTATACAGACTTTTTGCACTACTTTTGTATTCTTATTTTTTATATTTGTTTATATCTGTTGGATTGTTGGAGGAGCTCAGGTCATAAGACTTTCATTGCCATTTCTACACTGTAGCTTTGTGCATATGACAATAAGACTTTGAATCTCTGTTTACTATGTTTAGTCTGGTTCAAGGTAAAGCTTCACGTCAAGGATACTAAAACTATCGTGGACAAGAAGAAGTACGTGGCCTTCTGGCTGGAGCGGTATGCGAAGAAGGAACCTGGGATGCCGCTCACTGTTATCTTTGATATGGCAGAGTCTGGCCTCAGCAATATAGTAAGTCCATCATGTGTTTTAATTAGTTTTTTGTCATCGTATCACTTCTTATTTCTCTGTCAAGTTCTTTCATTTCTTGTAATAATATCCAGGTCTCCAAGACGAAGCTTATATTTCATTTTGCTCTCCCTCTATTAAATAAGCTTACTTTCATGTTATAAAAGACTGTTTCCTTCCAGTGAGTGTCCTTGAAATGCTGTTGAGTGTCCTCTTCCTTCTTGCTGTTTGAGCGGTGGTCTTGCAGGCACTGATGCTCTTTAATGGTTTTACTCTTCGTAGATTAAAGTAACCTTTAAATCCCGTTGGTCAATTCGAGTGCACTGTCTAATCCGCAGACTCGCTGTGTCGCACAGCGTTAGCTCCTTGATTGAGCTCTCTGTCAGAGAGTGCATTTCATTGGCTCGGCTCTCTTGGAGAGAAATGGCTCAGTTAAATACAAATATACCAGCACAAGCACTGCAAAAAGAATACATAGCTATGCAACCCAAATATGAAATGAGTAGATTAGAAAATCAGTTTGCCGCCTTGTTGAACCACAGTGAAGCTAGAGCTAAGGCTAGCCAGTATGATCTCATTAAAGCTCTGGAGAGTCTCCTGCATAGCAATGAGGCTCCGAGCCAATTATGGAGCCCAGCCAGGATCTAGACGCGGTTTCTATTGACATGCCACCGGTTTGGTTTGATGATTAACATTCAAAAGTAAGATGATCATTCATCATATTCACATACAAACTGGTTTGAAGTGTTTCACCTGGACAGTTGGTTCCAGATGAGATTTATAAAATCTATTTCATCTGTTGATTTTCTTCCACTAACTAAAGCGTTGATAGATAATCTGTTTTAATCCGAAGCCCTTTATCATTTAGTTCCATTTAAGTCAAAGAGCCATATAATGTGAACTTAATTAGTTTTCTGGGAACACAGTCTCCTTAGAAATGTGTCAAGTCTTTAAAATGCATTCAAACGGTGTAATATAATTCTCTTTTTTGCAAATGGTTAATAACTATAATAGGTAATATGGTCAGTATTTGTGATTGGATCATTTAATACATTTTCTTTCTATTGAAGTACTTCAGATCTAGAGGTGTTTAAAATTAACATACATTCTCCTTATTTAAAATAATGCCTGTTTTATGGTTCTGTATTCGGTTTAACTTTTTAAAATCCCTGTCATTTTCCACTTTGTGTTTCAGGACATGGAGTTTGTAAAGTACATCATCAATTGCTTCAAAGTATATTATCCAACGTTTTTATGTAAGTAACATAAAAGTCTCACAAAAGCAGAAAAAATAATTATACATATTAATTATGATTTACAACCAAACCTGGGTATTTTAAGAACAATTCTAATGGACAAGCTTTGTACTTTTCTTGATCATTTCAGCCAAAATGATCATCGTGGATATGCCTTGGATCATGAATGGTGAGAAAGCGTCCTCCTAGCCCATCCTAGAAACATGTTTATTTCTCTTTATTTTCTGGAGCATGACATGTCTCTTTTTCAGCTGCGTGGAAAATTGTGAAGTCATGGTTGGGTCCCGAGGCAGTCAGCAAGCTCAAGTTTGCTTCGAGATCTGAGGTCCATGGATTCATAGACCCCGAGTACCTGCCAGCCCATATGGGGGGAACGGTATGTTACAATGTGTTTCGTTACGTGTTCTATTAAATATCTCAAATACAGCATTAGCGCGTTAGCTAATGCCTAAAGGACAGATTTAAACGATGCAGAAGTAACTAGGACTCGTCTGAATGTTTATCATCACTCAGTAATGTTTAATGATGATTTGATGAATACTTCAGTTGTGTAACCTTTATTCATACTGAACAAATGTTAATGAAAAAAACAACATAAGTAATGCATTTAAACAAACTACTAATAGTAGATTAACAACTTTATTCAAAGGTTTACAGTAATTCTGGATAATAAAATGGGAAAAATAAACGTGGTGCTCTCTTTTCCTCTCCCTCTCCTGACAGCCCGTCAGTCTCGTGCAGCTCGCTGAACCTGTACTAAGTGACCCGACAGTAAAGAATACATATATTTATAACCAGTTTAGCTAGTTCCAGAGTAGATAAACTAGTTAAGTGTGTTAGGTCTAACTCTTAGTGTATTTAATTTTGGTCCACTCAACGGTCCGCGGCCGAGCTGTGATCCGGTAGAGCTGCGTGTTCTCCGTCAGCAGCAGCTGATCTGATCTCTCTCTCGTCCGGTTATACTTCACTCGCGTTTTTGTCCAAATCTATCAGATCTAGATAGTTCTAGTTAATGATATGACTGCCTGCTTCTCAAAGGACACCTAAACAATAAGCGTTGCTTGGCAACGGCTTGTGGTTGCAAAGTATAGCGCAGCATTAGCATATGTTTATATGAGGGGTCAAAATCCCATGCTCATAAAATGCTCATATTTTTTCCTCTTCATTCCCCACGCCCCAAAATAAATAAATATACCCATTTTTAGGAAAAGTAAGGAAGTTTGAGCAGTGTGGGTTTTATATTAACAGAGTTTCACATATTTCAAAACGCGAAGTGTAATAACTGCAGTTTGCCTCCCTGTCAGAATGACAAAGATCCTCAGTGAAGCACAAGCCCATGTTTCTCACTACATTTTAAGTACAACTTATTAAAAAGATCAGTTCAATGCAACTAATGTCGTCTCTGTGTTATTGCATGATGTTAAAATAGTTTTGTCATGAATTTAGTGATGGATTGTAAACATTTGAAATGTAGCATTTAAGTGTTTCTCAGTTACAAGGTTGTTGTTTTACTGTACCTCTTTATATAGGCATTTTTTCCTTAACAAATTGTTTTTGCGCTGATCAGGGGGTACTTGGCTGAATTTTTTTTTCAAAGGGGGTACATGATTGAGAAAAGTTTGAGAACCACTGCTCTAACTGACGGAAATCACTTTGTTTATTTAACCAGCATAAGCCATATCATTATGTTCATTCATATTCAAGTCATGGGACTTTCTCTGCTTAACAAGAACAGTCAGTATGATGACCTTCATTGAGATTGACAATGTACACGCTTTTAAAAACCATGCATGTTTTGATATATTTGTTCTGGCTACATTCCAGGACCCCTTCAAGTACAGCTACCCTCCTCTCCCTGATGACGACTTCCAAACACCCATCTGTGAAAACGGGCCGATTGTCAGTGAGGACGAGCTGGAGAGCAAAGAGGGGGACATGGAGAGCAAAGACGCCCTGGAGTCCAGCTTCAGCTCTGAGGTAGCAGTAAAGCCCAAAAAGGTACATTTTCTGTTTATATCTAGTTATTATCATAGTTTCAGAATGGAGCCGGCTTAAAAAAGTCCTTCAATGTAATTAAGACAAAACTGACAAAAGGTAGGAGGGCTCCTTCTGTGTTGTCAGTCTCCACTCTGGCACGACTCGGTTTCAGTCAGCGAACTTCTGAATATGGAGTGAATGTTGTGTTTATGAATAAAATGTGTGAAACTAATATAGTTAGCAAGACTTGTGGTGACGTTGTTATCAGTGTAGCTGCTCTCGTCTGTAATTGAGTCATGATTAATTCTCTTATAGCTGTGGCATTCTGCTACGAATCAAACTGAGCGGCCTATAGTCGTTTCTTCTTTCACTCACATTCTATAAATTGAGCGTGAGATTACAGCATGTAATCACCGCAGTGAATGAAATGGGAAGTAATGTCCTGATTTGGAAGATGGTAAGCTCTTGCTCATTGTCTATGTGAAGGTGACTCCTAATGTCTACGGCTGCAATTAAATCCTGCCAACAAAGCCAGTGCCTCGCAGCCGGCGCTCTGTCCTCTCCTCCTCCCCTCCTCTCCGCCCTCATACGGTCCGCAGAGGTTGTCAAGTCAGCTACTTAAGCTCTTCCCTGCTGCAGCTGGATTCCTCTTCCTCGCCAAACAACAGCAAGCAGCCCAACAACATAACTGAGACGCCCCGCAGGCTTTATCTTAACTATGTCTGCAGGTACTTGTCAACCTCCCTCTCTCTCTGGTGTCACCCGATTCCACCCACATGCAGTAAGGCTGCAGCTTATGTCACATATTCTACTCTCCTACAGGACAATCCAGTTTCTTAATCTATTTAGCTACTTTCCCGCACAGCGTCATGCAGAGAAAGCCTGCATGGAAATAGATGGAGGGCTCAGGATATGCTCGACTTCTAGAAAGTTGTACATTTGCAATATGTTGGTGCAGGTTGTTTTCAAGCATGGTTAATTATTATTTTGCTGCAGCCGTTATTAACTAAAGCATGGGTCAAGCAAGAAGTCATTAAATGTTAAAGCACAGCCGAATCATCAAAGTCAACTTTAATGTAAATCTTCCAGTTTGTGTGTACAGATGGAGAGATCCAAATACTGTTTCCCACAATCCCAATTCAATTCAAAACCTTTATTTATCCAGGTAAAATCCCATTGAGATCAATGATCTCTTTTTCAAGGGAGACCTGCAGATATGAAAACAATGTATACAGAAAATGTATATACACAGTCAAAGACACATGTGCACACATTAAGACCTAAATGAAAACACAACAATCAATATATACAAAATAAAAGTCCGATGGAATCGGCCTTGGGGAGGTTTGTGCCCTTCTGAATAACAGATATGTTGCTGTTAAAGCCAAAGAGCAGCAGATTTGGGGTTGACCTGCATTCGACGTGAGTCGTGATCAGTGTTGTGCTAGTTACTGAAAACCACCAACTAGTTACCATTACTAGTTACTTCATTTCAAAAGTAACTAGTTATGGTAACTAGTTACTGTTTTTTTTAATCAGTTACTTTACTAGTTACTTACACCAAAAAGTAATGCGTTACTGTGAAAAGTAACGTTTTAGTTACTTGGCAAAATGGCTCCCATTAATGCCCTTATAGCCTTCATTTCAGTACTGTTATTGCATTGGAGAATAATACAATCTGTTGATCAACTTAACATGCATTATATGCAATCTGGATTGCATCGATATTAGCTGGCTTTCCATTTTTGTATATTCTTTCTCCAGGTAGTTGGAAAAAGTTTTCCGTCCCATATGCCGTGTGCCGCCCGGACATGCTATCATGCTAACTAGCTCCCTGAAAGCGGGTGACTCCACTGTAGCAATAGCCTGCATGTGTTCTACAACATACCAATGGCTTTATCGACTTTTCCCTGGCCAGCAGTCCCTTGGTTAAAATCCAGCCGCTGTTGCTTAGGTGGAGGTGGAGTGGCGTCGGCTGAGTCTCTGTGGTCTTAGCTACTAGCTTCGTCCCAGCATGTTGTAGTACATTTACTCAAGTACTGTACTTAAGTACAGTTCTCATCTCTGTTCGCCTGGCTGTTGGCTATATAAAAAAAGCTAACGGAGTAACGCACCATGTAGTAACGGTAACTGAGTTACTGAATTAAAAAGTAATGCGCTAGAGTACTAGTTACTTTGTAACGCGTTAGTCCCAACACTGGTCGTGATATAACTGTGTTGTGATTTATAGCCGCTCTCATGAGTTTTTGTTGCCTATAGGACGCACCCTGTGAGAGCTGCTGCTGTGTCACCCACAGCTTCTCCCATGAGCCTCCTAAGACCCACTAAACAAACGGAGCTCTTATTGTTAATAAATACCACATTGGTCATGCACAACAGATTCAGATTTACAAAGCAAAGATATGCAAATCACTCAAATGTTAGCCCAAGCAATAACTTACAGGTTGTAAATGTTGTTGGTGTAAGCGTCATGAACAAGCCCCACTATTCCCAAGAGAAAAGGTACACATTTCCATATTCAAGCATTTTTGACTTCATATTTGACATTCAAAACATTGTCTGTGGGAAAGGGAAAGATATTTTTCATGTTAGCCTGAAGAGCTAGAAAGTCTGGTATGATTGATGTTGAAATATGCCTGACAGCAATCACTATGTCTCAAGTAGTTGATGAATGTTCAGACTAAGAGAATAGTAGCTCAACAGTTTGTCTTTAAATGGTGGATTGTATAACGATTGAAAATGAATGGTAATTCATGTGACTTTAAATATCGCCACTGGCTGAAGGTTACATTCTAATTATAAATTCATTCTGGAAACCTTACAAGCCCAACTTTCTTTTTTGAAATGTATTAATTCATGGTTAATAATAACTCCTGCACAGGTACTTCCTTTAAAGCCCATAGTTTTGAACAAAAGTAAGTATACGTTCGGTGTTGTCCAACTATCAAGAGTATCAAAACAATCACAATATGGACAGAAAGTTATGGTTTACTATTTAAAACAAGATGAAAGGAGAGTGAGATGATGTCTCTTGGGAATCTTTCAAACCAGCTTCACTTCTGTTGCACAGAGTGGCGTAGTTTCATCGGGCATGATGAATTCCTGGATGCCTGTGCTGTGACTAAACCTGCTGCTCTGTAATATCCCATCCTGCCGGCTCCTCAGCCCGTCTGAGCACATTCCATCTTGTCTAAACAAACCATCGACTCTTCCGCCGCCGTCCCTCCTCAATCGCGCTGATTACTTGATGGCTTAAAGGAGCTAATTGCCTTTCTCTCTGTTTTGGAACAAGGGCTGGCTGTGGTAAGGCAGGTTAGGATCAAACCCACACTCGGAGCTCAGAGTCCAGGCGCTTTCTCCCGGCTGGAAAGGCAGGTGTGCTCACGTGACTGAATTACTGTGAGTGCGCCTGCCTCAGTCACCTGCTGTCATCTCATCCCTGCACATGTTCATCTGTCCTGGACCTTACATTTCAAATTGAGAAACTAATCGCACAGTCCCTGCCCGCCAGGAACACATTTACATGACCTGTATGTTCTAACCTCAGATAAAAACGACTGAAATAATTACTGCTATGTTGCAGTAAAACCAGTTATTAACACGTTTTCTAACTTCTTTGCTTTTATGCATATCTTAACTAACACCATGAGTGCCTTGTTTTTTAACACTATTTTGACCAGGTCTGTGACACTGGGGACGATATCAAGTATCATGTGTAAAGCCTACTAATATGTACTGACACTCCTCTTATGAGCATTTCACTAATATTTTAATAATTCTATTGTCTTTGCATTTCAAATCTTACACAATGTGTAGAAAACATGAAGGTATCAAATGTAGTATTAATTGTGTTGGAGTAAATCTGAATTATTTGTATTTGCTTATAGTGTTTTTTGAATTGAAAGAAATTGCCTAATGTTTTTGTTCTTTGTTAATCTACAATGGAATGTTGTTTCCATGAGCCTTACGAAAAGGATCAAAGCTCTTAAAGACAGTGATATTTTAATGATGATATGTGTGTGACACAGCCTGCTATTTCACGTTTCATTTCTAATTAAAAATGTGAGTATGTTTGACTTCTTCGACTCACATTGTGACCTCATTGTGTTGAAATGATGAATAAATGAAGCCTTTCATCAGCAGCTGATCATCTCTTGATGTCTTCATTGTGGCAGTTGCATGACAGTCAGCCATTGAATTAAGATGACATGTTGTGTTGCTTATCACAGCAAATGACACACTTACCCCTCCGAGTCACAAATGTTCCCATCACATGCAGAGCCCGCTCACCTTTGCCCCCTCACCCCCCCCCCCTCCCCCATGATGTGCTCACTCTCCCATCTGTTTTACACAATATGTGTTGCCAGCATCACTGTGAAGGCATCCTCCTCCCAACCCAACAACTTTATCCGTAGTGCTTAGGCTGACGTTTCGCAATTTCTATCCTGTCAGCTGTTTCCTTATCTCGTGATCTGTCCGAGGACGATTTGGGTCAAAGTGTACGGATGTTTTGCTGAAGTGAAAGTATCCTTGTGGGAGTCTTAATTCTGACTCCTGGACTCACTGAACTATTTATGTTCAAGCGTCTTGTCATGTGTTTGTGAGACTACCAGGAACACGGGTGAGGAGTCATCACGGAGGTTTCTCAGTAGTAAAAACATGTTTTGAACACTTCACAATTATTTCACAATCAATCAATCAATCAATCAAGAGCAATAGCTTCATTAACTGATAGCTTTCCTCGCTTAAAGGCCAAAGTTCAAACATTTTATTTTCAGGGAAGGAACCAGACAAAGGTCACACGGTTGCTTTATCAATTCTCTGAGTCTCTTTTCTAATTAGCTGCTCTTTGTTGTTTCAGGTGAATTTCCTGGAAGACAGTTTGAGAGCAGAGGACAATGATAAAGGAGACACTAGCTCCAGGACCAAAGGGACCAGAAAGCCACTGACGACCTTCAAAGGCGCTCTGCTAGATGTTAGGTAGGCCATCTTGCTCACAATCTCCTTTCTTACCACTATTCTACACGTCATTTCCTCAAGTTGCAGTTATATTGGAAAAGAAGACGTTATCTACTTGGATGACGAAGCTCTAAAACCGACATGTAGACAGTTCACAATCAGCTGATGGATTTCTTTGAGGTTTATCATTGGTAATAATGCTAAATCCTCATCTCTACCATTACTTGGAAGTGTTCCTATCCTACCTTTTCAAGTGTTCTTGGAAACATTGACAGCTTCTACACGAGCCTAAATAAACCCAGAAAATGTCAGAGGCTTTTTTTTAAACCAACAGTTTAGCTGTACACTGAATTTGTTGTTGACCTAACCCAACTGGTGTTGACTTTATGCACACATGTTCAGCACCTCTGCACTGCAACTGCAACTCATTTGTGTTTGGGAAACATAAAGTAAGGTAGCCAGAAAGGTTGACTGGACACCTAAGGATTGTTAGTTTGCTGAGAAGAACTGGTAGTAGATGTATCTACTAAATGATCCTCCTTTGCCGTCCTATCTGCCAATCTCCACTCCAACGCTGGTTTCAGGGTTAGGGTTAGGGTCAATGTACAGATACAGCTCTGGAAACAATGAAGAGACCACTGCAGCATTATCAGTTTCTCACGTTTGACTATTTATAGGTATGTGTTTGAGTAAAATAATAGTTTTATATTTCATTCAACAGACCCCGGAATGGAATGGCTGCCATACGTGTAGAGATTGAGATTTAAGAATCATTTGGAGTGGTCTCTTAATTTTTTCAAGAGCTGTAGCTAAAACTAAACATTATAACGTCCTTGGAGGTAAGATGTTACATGATACTGCGGTAATAAATTGGTAACTGGGAATAAGCCCGTTAAGAAGCCATTAGCAAAAATATATAACTTTAATTGCCTTGTATATATTGACGAAAATGTCCCCTTCATGTATCGGCTCAAAGCCATGAGTCATTATTGATGTGTGCGCCTTTTATGGCCTGATTGATCCGCTCACATGGGGCAGGAATTAAGGATGCTAGCGATCGTTTGTTCAATGAGAGACTGGCCAATGATCAATTAACCTTTAAGAGAGGAGCACTCGTCCACTCTGAACATGTCGTCACACACCATCATATGTTTTAATTCAGCATTCAATGAATTGCAAAAGAGGGGTCGACTTCAAGAGCGGTGTATTGCAAAGAAGAAAAAAGCAATCACACAAGTATGTGTTTGGCTATTGGGTAAAGAATTAGCGGTGCATTCTCACACTGAATGATACTACTTCTCATTTTCATGAATATTTGTCCGTTGAGTTCTGTTTTAACGGAGGAATGGCTTTGATGTGAGGATTCTGACAGCTCTGGGCTGTGAGTTATAGTGATAAACAGATTTAAATGAGCCTTAAATGCAATTATGCTGGGGGGGGCTTTAGTGGGGAGTAGGGGGCTTTGATCTCATGTTTGCAAAAGGTTTTCAGAGACCGAAAACTCACTTTGAGGGAAAGAGCCTCTATGTCTAGAACCGGGGAAATAACACGGAGACTTGCGTAAGAGAAATATACGTTTTGTTCTTAGCCGTGTCAGTCCATGAGGCATCAAGGAGAAGCTGAGGCAGATATTCAGATCTTTTTTCTAATTTCTTCTTGATAAAAACTCCCAATAAAAAAGGGTTTCATCTGTCTGAATATATCGAATAACATGCTGTTTATAGCTAAGTTAGACTGTTGCAAACTTGCTTAGAGGAAACAGCGAGAGCCGGCAACTACCACCACTGACCACAAACTGCGAGAGAAAGAGCCTCATCCCAAGTTTTTGGGTCACAGATTTGTTTTTATTCAACATTTCACATCAGATGTGATGCCTGATCAGCGCTCCATACAGTTTAAAGTCCAACTGAAAATAAGTTGCTAGAGTATTCACATCTCCTGTGTTCTACTCGGCATCAAAATCTGAAACCAAATAGTGACAATCATTTATTCTAATACCATGAGTTCTCCGTTTTGATAGATGGACATCTTGTTTCCATACAACCAATCAGATCGCTTCATTTGGAACCATATTTGCGTTAAGCAGTAACAAAAGCATTTAATCATGTGCAGACATTCACGCTGACTAAAAGCCACACACATCCTGCTACACAGCACACAAAGTATCCTTTTGATCTGACTAACCAACATGAACACCTTGTCCTGCACTTTGACATGTTGTACCAGCCACCAAACAAACATTCACCGGGGGAAAGAGCACGGCAAACATTGATTTTCATGATAAATAGTTCATTAGCTATCTGCTCTGTTGCGGCACAACAAATATTATGTTATCTTACCTGCAAATGTCTTGTACGATACACCAAAAAAATGTGATGACATAAAGGACTACTAAGTGGTTTCAGTTTAAATCAAAGCATTAACTCCTCCTATAGCCTGTGAAGGCACCTAGACCCTGTTTACATCGAGTATTCATGTGTCTTAGGGGGTCAGGTTACAAGACCACAGCTCTGAATGCAACAACCACAAAGACTCGTTGTGATTTGATCACGGTTGCCATGGTGGTTTGTCCACATAGGACCACATATTTATAGTGTAAATGCTGAGGCCTCCTGATGTGTCCCCAACTAGGATGTAACAGGAAAATACGTCAATGCTTGCAGCTGTCAACAGAAATTATGAACGTGTTTTTAAGTGAGATCCAATCACAAGTAGTCACTTGGGACGCATGTATAGATGCACTTGTTGTGGTCAACAAGAACCTACAACTCAATTCTGTCCCCCAGGGGCCCATAGTGCGGTGATTCAGCCTCGGACTTTGACATGGTTTATTGATTTCTGACCACATCTAGATTAATGTAAAAACAGGTATCCTGTATTTGAAAGTATAATTTTTTATTTTTTGCTGCAAATCTTTATATAACATCCTTCAGGAATAACGATGGTTATAGCAGATATTTAGAGGGATGTGTAGCAGGAAAAGTCCCAGGATAATCATAGCACACAGACCGCAAAGCACATGAAGTATCCGCCCAATCTGTATTCATACGAAGCCTAAGAGAGAAAGAACAAAGCATTTGAGGGAGCAAAGGGAACTCCAGTCTGCATGTAGAGCAGTCGTACAAGTGCACGAACAGGCGCTTCCTTCCTACCACGACAGCTTCCTAACGTATCTCCTGTCTCGCATTGTGGGTTTTCTCTCCCTCCAGCCCCGCAGAGGAGCTCAGCTTTGGTTCTGCAGAGACGGAGAAAAGATGCCTCATTATCCTGAGCAATGTGACCAAAAATAAAGTGGCCTTCAAGGTGAGAATGAGGAGCGTTTGTGCCGAAGTAACATTTTCTGTTATTTGATCAACAGTAAAATTACATTTAGTCAAGTCATTTGTTTAGCGCAATAGCAGTTCACTGGTTTCATCTTTTCCAATGTGAAGTTGTTCTGCTTTTTTGCAACTTTATATCAATGTTCATGGAATTTCTATGTTTGGACCATTTTCTGATCTTCATAGACAAACCACTTTCTGAAAATAAATATGTTTTATTTAGAGTGCCCTTGGTGTCTTTCCAGGTACGGACCACAGCACCTGAGAAGTACAGAGTGAAGCCCAGCAGCAGCTTCTGTGAACCAGGAGCGTCAGTAGATATAGTCGTGTCTTTACATGGAGGTACTGCACTCTAGCTCTGTCTCACAATAGATCGTTCCTTAAGCCGCACTTCAGAATCATCAAAAAGTCTGGTCTTCTACCTTCAGAGTGCTAGCAGCCACTCTTCTTTGCCCAGCATACATATTTTAAAAGTGATAAAAGAAGAATCTGCCCAAAACAACTGAGGTTAAGCATGTTAGGGCCTTCAAATCGTGTATCGACACTCTATTGCAAATACCTTGGAAGAGTCAGTGCTACCTATTTCAGGGTTGCTTTAATGCTTTTTCACAATGTCATGTCAAGCAATGCATTGTCTCATTCCGGCTGAAGATTTCCTCAACAAATCAAATCCTTTCCATTATTTATGTTGACTTGCCGTGTGTTTTGTTGCCCTGGATGTTTCCGGCAGGTTCTCAAGCATCGCCACAGGACAGATTCTTGGTCATGGCTGCCGAGATGGACAATTCTTTATCACAAGAACTCGCACAGTTCTGGAAAGAAGTGCAGAAAGCCAAGATCATGGAACACAGGTACGAGTCTGTGCTCCTTGATACAGCCATGAGAGTAAATCTGTCAAATGATGAGTACATTGTCCCGTTGCCCCAGTGTCCTCATTACAGTCGTGACCGTGAGCTTGTCGGCTGCGTATCGCCCTGATGGCCTCCGCTCATTAGGTTGTGAATTTCCCACAGATTGCGCTGTCACGTTGTGGAGAGCCTGAAACAAACAGTGAGTCCTCTCAGAGACAGCCCTGTGGAGACGGGCTCCGGCGAGCAGCAGGAATTTCACACTGCGGTGAGTTCTGCTGGAGAGGAGCCTCTTCTCGTCAGTACTCGTTATCTTTGACTCACAATTAGGGCTGCTCGATTGTGGCAAAATAATCTCGATTATTTGGGTCAATAATTGTAATTGCGATTTATTAAATGCTTTCAAATTATTCATTGACTTTGAAAACATCCATTTATTGGATAAAAAAAAATGGAACAGTATGTTTTTAACAGTTGATTACCCCGAACTTTAAGTATAATTTCAACTGAAAAACCAAAAAAAAAAAAAAATCGTAATCGCGATTAAATTCCGATTAATTGAGCAGCCCTACTCACAATACATTTGTTCATGGAGATCCTTTTGACCACCAATTTAGATGTTATACTCTGCCATCCCTAACACATTGTAGTCCAATATGACTCTATGATGAAGACGCACCCTTACAGATGTCATTAACATGTCTTTGTATTTGCATTGCATACTCCAAAAACATCCCACACCCAGGCACTGGATGATAACATACATTTCACATCAGTAAGTATTATGTAGGTTGAGTGTAGATTCATTAGGTCGTAGCATTATGTCTTGTTGGTCGTCTATTTGTTACATGTTTAACGGTATGGTAACATTTCGGGGAACTGTTCTTGCTTTTCTTACTTTCATTAGATGAGAAACTCAACTCTCATGTCTGTGTGTTACAGCTGGAAAAGAGGGGCAACTAGCCTAGCTTAGCATACAAATTGGAAATTGTTAGCCTAGCTCTGTATAATAATGTCAAAGTCCTCTTCCCTGCCCCTCTAGAGTTCCCTAATTAGTACTCTTTCTCTTCAATAGAACTGATATGTCTGTGTGTAGCCTCTCTGCTTATTTCCTCACCACTTCACAGTTATGATCTAGGAAGTCACTGCAATCAACCGCTTCTCACCAGGAAGTTGACACACAGTAGCACCTAACTCCCCCTGAAACCACAAATTGTCGTTTTGAATTTCAGGTTGATACGTTCTTAGAGACAGTTATAGTTTAGCAAAAGCCAGGCTATTTGTATCTCTTTCCTCCAGTCTTCCTATATCACACATGAGAGTAGAATCCATCATCTAACTCTAGAAAAAGAATAGGCGTATTTCACCCTTTTCCCCCAAATTAACCGAACATCTATAGCCTGGTTTGCTGCCATGACTTCTTTCATTGCAACGGTGTTAGATTAAACCAGTTTGTATCTCACCAGCTCATGCGAGTGATAACCTGCAACGCCCGGCTGGAGCAGAAGCTGAACTCGTGTCTGTGGGTGCAGAAGGTTCTGATCGGGCTGGTGCTGATCCTGGTCCTGCTGAACCTGCTGTGTCTGCGCCTGCTGACCAGCTCCCAGCAGCCATCCTGACCTGCCCCCGCCCGCTCCACCGCAGACACTCACACTTCCTGAACAGACTGTATTGGTCTCTTTTCAGGCACTTGAGAGGGACTCTTTTAACAATGTGACATCAAAGCATTAATGTATTTTTTAAGATGCATCAAAATATAAATGTGTATTTATTACTAAAAACAAAACATGGAGGAACAATTACTAATTCTGTGATCATAATGTACAAATTTTTACATATTATATAAATCTAGAGAATACAAAATAAACACTTTTTGTCAACTTGTTTTTTCTCCTTGTCTCTCCACATGCGCCTTCATCCAGACATGTGAAGGTTGTGGTTACTTCCTAATAAACCCTCATTAGTACAGAGGTGTTTAATTGAAAACGTTGCCGTGTGCGACCCCACTAAACCTCTCCCACACTCAGCCCGAGGAGCCACAGGAGATCTCTGTTCCCACTATCTCCTCTATTTGTTTTAATTACCCCGACACTGGCAAACTAAAAATACCAAAGCAATTACTGGCGAGTACAAGGACACAGCGCAACCCACTTGTAGCTTAGAGGAAAGCGCTGATATCTATAACAAGATCCAGCTCTGAGCAATCAGGATGCGCTTCGTCGCAATAGGAATGATCGCAATTGGGTTATTAGATGTGTGCACATAAGGGTTGTCGGGCGTAAACACTTGCTGCTTGTTCGCAGTAGGTGGTAGCCGTGGAGATGATTGGAAGGACTTGTGCAATAACGGGTAAACTAATCCTACGGTGATTATAAACACTGGGCTGTTTTGGGGAGCCGCAAAGTGTTTATCCCTGAAGATTGCATTGCGTCGCTTGTTCTGCATTCTGTTTCAGTGCCAACCCTTCATATGGTTCTTATAAAATCTCTCCAGTAATATCTTTTCGTCAAAGGAATTGGTTTTTAAGTGAGTGTGTTCTCTCGATGTAAAACTTGCATTTTGTGTTCCACTAAAACTTTCAGTAAGATGCATTTGGCGCCATTTGTGAGTGCATATGTACTAAAAGAAAGCATGGTGGTAAATGGAGTGTTTGCCTCTGGAGGATAAAAGTAAAAGCCTTGGTATCACACATAGGTGGGCTGACTTTAAGTGCATCCGAGTGGCACACGGTACCTGACTGAACCCAGGAAGTCAATCAGATACACTGCACTGCACAGGGCCAAACACAACACTGCTATCAGTGATGCCACAATGACTGAAGTGGAAAATTATTTGAGCGGTCATGTGACACTGATTCCCAGGCGGACTCATCTCACCTGATTGCCTATTTGTCAGTAATTACTTACAGTGGTTGCCATATGTCTTCCTCCGCAGCTTCACCAGGCAGAGGCTCCTCCACAGTATTGATTCAACATTAAACACCACTTGAATCGAAACCCGAGTCAATGTGCGACTGGCCCCAGGCACTCATACAAGGTTTAAGGGGGGGAAATGATTAAGTTCAAGTAGCAAATTGGGACATGGGGGGGAGTTGATGGAAAGTCAATGAGTGCTACATTTAACAAGGATGGGGTGGGTGACGAGCATATTGTGCTTTCCTCCCCATGGATAGGATGTTGGTGTACCACATGCTGCCCTTTTCATCATCTCTGTAAATGAACTCATTGAAATCAATGCCTATAGAGTGGTGGTCCATATTACTAATCTCCCCTAACTATGTAGTAAAATGTATTTATGGGCTGTAACCAGAAAGAGGATGCCATATTAAAAAAGTGTATTCTCCATCTTTACTATTTTCCTTGCCATTTCCATCTGTCTTAATCCTGTTGTATGCTTTCCCTCCTGGGCTGCATCAGCCTCACTGATTGGCTGCATGGACAGACACACACAGGTCAGAGGTCAGTGAGCCCTTGAAGGATATGTGTTGACAGCTGTCATGCTGCTTGACACTTTGGAAAACATCACCAATGATGCCTCACTTCCACTCAATATGTATGCAACTTGTGAGCCCAAAAGTATTGAGATAATCAAGATGGATCCACTTTTAAGAGGGTGTTCCCGCCTCAGGCTGAGGGTAAGCAAAATGATTAGCATGAAATCATGCCAGCACATCTTAAATACTAGATCTGGGCCATGGAAAGGAGTAGTGACCTAAATAAAACGTTGTATTATTTGGTTTATACCATCTGAATTAATTGGAATAGGGAATTGTAGATCAAAGATTTATCTCTGCCGTGCCCTCTCTATCTCGGGTTATTGTAATACGCAACAGGCCAAGGAAATAAGAAGCCTCACATAAATACTCTTCCTTGTGTTTGTCTGAGACATGAAGATTTCTAGATGTTTATTATTCCGATGTAGGACTGTATATGCGTGGCTGTGCTAAACAAAACTGAAGTTTTGGGAAAATAGTAATAACTAGGTTATAATCAGAGATGGCAAAAGTACACACACCCTTTACTCAAGTAGAAGTACAGATACTCAAAAATATTCTGGTAGAAGTACTGACTAAACTTCTTTACCCAAGTAAAAGTAAAGAAGTATGGGCTTCGAAATGTACTTAAGTAAAAAGTACCCATAACTACCAGCTGTTTTAAAGAGTAACTTACCTTTCTTTATAGTAATAGAACAAAAATGTCATTGTTAGCTAATTCATGTTTTGATGCTGAACAACGGCAACATGACAACGTTTTCATTGGTCCCTCTTCTTTACAGAAGACCAGGAAATGAAGGATACACAGATTGTTTTAAAATCACGCAATGACTCTAAATAATAATGATCACGACACCAAACAGATTAAAACTAAAGTAACCAGCCTGTTTTGAAAATGTAAGAAGTAGAAAGTACAGGTATTTGTGTTAAAAATGTAAGAAGTAAAAGTAAAAAGTCGTCAGAAAAATAAGTAGTGGAGTAAAGTACTGATACCAGAAACATTTGCTTAAGTACAGTAACAAAGTATTTGTACTCCACTACTTCCCACCTCTGGTTATAATATTACATGTTACTTGTTAGACGCTTTTATCCAAAGCAACTTACTCAATACTGTGGACAAGGAGCAATTTGGGGTGAAGTGTCTTGTCTTGGTTATAATAACATGTGTTGCCTTTTTTCTACCTGTATACATTCAGTGTTCACATCATGTTTGGGTTTTTATTGTTTGCTTGATCCTTGTGGTCGTTTTTTATTAAAAATATACTCTTTAGACTCTGGGGAGAAGCAGTTATTTCACAGGAGAATTTGCATAATTTCTCAACACTTCCTGTGCACAACAACAAAGCCCTTACATCAGATGCTGTTGCTGAATGAACAATGCATGTTTATTCACTCTCCATCTGGAGATCCATTTATTTATTTTGTTTCTTTTTAAATCTGTAGGAACATTATAAAATACACTTTACAATCCAAAATAACTTCTGCTTCAAACCTCTAGTGGTTTGTGCTCATAATCTGCCGAGTCATAGTTTCTGGTTATGTAGACTAATTCCTCAGAAGAGCATGACCAAGTTTAAAATATCTGGTTTAGCATAGAAGCCACATAGGACATATAAAACACTGAAATCTCCCCCAGCCGGAGAGAGACTGTAGATATATCTGATTTATTTAAAATAGGGAGGAGAAAATCTGCCACGATTGAATTATTTAGTCATGACAATCGCAGTACAAGAATGTGTTTGTGGAATTGATCAAGTCCTATCCCTCTATTGATGAGTCCAGATTTGAAGATGTTTTCACTTGCAGAGATTTGCCTTTGAAATCACTTTTCTACTGTATGATGTCTTTAAATCGACTGAGATGCTTTTTTAAAAAGTTGCTCTGGAAACATGTTCCTAAATGCCCTATAAGGATGATATACAATACACCATTTACAGGATTTCATTTGAAAGTAAGTTTAGTTTAGTTTTTATGTCTAAAGAAAACCAAAACAGCAGCATCAAAAACAGGATCTTCAGTTTCAAATAACAAAAGAAAAGCATATAAGCTGAATGTAGAGGGTTGTCTAATTAAAATAATATTGTTTCGGTTTGTGAAACCTTTATTTAACATTAATAATGCAACATTTATTAGACTTTATGAGCCCATATTCTCATTTTAAATATGTATGACCTCATGGATATGAATAGTTAATGATAAAAACTTGCTCCAAGTTCTCAGATAAAAGTCCAGATTGATCTTGAGAGTCGATTTGTTTACAGAGGCCGGTCACACTGGAGACTAGAGTTAATTACTAACAAAACCACAACGCCTCACTGCAAGATTATGCAACTGCACCCCCTACTGACCAAGAAGTTAAATGCTGCGAGTCTGACACAGAGTCTGATTTATTCAGTGCAATTGGTCTCCCCCTGGGTCTGATTTGTAGAGAAGATACTGTTTCACTTCTGTGGGAAGCTGAAGGTCGAGAATCCTACCCAGTCTCTGCTTGCCCATAGTGTTCCTGATGTTCTGCCGGCACAGCTGCATGAGAGGAGAGGCTCCTGGGCGGGGGGGGGAGGGGGGAGAGGAGCCATGACAGAGAGATGTTTTGATTATTAGCTACGGCTTAGGGCACCAGCCTAATGTAAAGGCCGTGCAAATCGCCACTACTTGTTTAGTTTGGATTGAATACCTCCTGCCTGTCTCAGCAGCCTCTCCACCAGGCTGCTGGGGGGGGCAAGGTCCAGCGGCTGTTTGCCCTCAGAGTTCCGGAGGGATAGATCCCCCCCGTGGTCCAGCAGGACAGACACCAGCTCAGGGCTGGAGAGGCGGGCGGCGATGTGCAGAGGAGACTCTCCGGACACGCTGCTGTTCACTCTGGCACCTGAACACAGCAGAGTGATGAGGTATGATCCTGCTCTCATTACATAACTGGGGGAGAGGGTCTCTGACAGCCCCGTCTCCTACAGCACCACTTATCTAATGTATTGCTCACATGAAATACTTTAGGCCATTTCCTAGCTGGACTGTATTTACTCTCAGGTTATGTATATTCAAATTAGAAAGCCCAAATGAGTGGATGTTTTAGATATGATACATCAGGCGTGTTATATAATGTGTGAATCAGCCAGCAGTGTAAACATAACAGTGTGTGTGGACACAAGCACTGCATTTAGGTTTACTGTTGAGTAACACATCAATTATTACTAGGTTTAACTTTGTTTTGGTGCATTTAGTAAGAGATTAACCAAACAGAGAAAAAGCATGCAGACACATCAAGGCATGCACATTTAACATACATCTGAAGATACAACACAGCATGTTTAAAGGCAGACCCTCACTGAATATGGTATACATATAATCAAGGCTATATGAGATTTATAACTTAAAAACATAACTCTTTACACTTGCTCAAAACGTTTTTAGTCTAGAATGTATTTACTTTAAAATGTCCCTTTAATGTCACTTTATACAATTAATACACTACACTTACCTGGCCAGTGTTTTTTAAAATTAAAACACACGTAACTTTACAAGAAAGAGTAATCTTTAAAAAAAAAAAGAAGAATACTACATAAAAAAGGGCCCTTAAGTGTGTGAGAATGATTAGCGATTAGCGTACTTAAAGTATTCCAAATAAAAGTACTAGTAGACTTGGCTCCTTTGAGTGTAATGATCATTCATTATATTATAAGATTATTATTATTATTACTGGTACTTTAATGTGTAAGTAGCATTTAAATGTTGTAGTGAATTGATTGAATTGCTCAAATAAACCATTTTATATACAGGTTGGTTCTTTAAACTCTATAACATTGCATCATAATCCTTCCATCCTTCTATCCTTCGTTCCAAACCATTAAAAGTGTTAGTCTAAATAACCTAAATACTAACACGTTCTTTGGAGGTTAAAATTTGAAGCTGAAGGCATTCTTACCAAGTTGAAGCAGTTTCCTCACATAACTCAGATGCTGATTGGAGCAGGCAACGTGGAGAGGGAACCCTGATTGGTCGATAAACTGATCCACATCTGCACCATGCTGAACAAGAGGCTCGATGCACTCTATGTGACCTAGACAGAGTTACCAGAATCATCACAATGAGAAGTGATGTACAACAAGGGATGTGCTTTGAAATGTGCCTTCGCTTGGTATCAAGGGAAGAATATGCTGTTGTTTTACTTTGTAGCCTAAAACAACACACATTTTCTGTTTTGATGAGTTATACATGTTTTCTGATGTGGTTGCCAACCTTTGTGCATTATGTAGTGACTGATTAAACTGACCTTTGGCCGCAGCCCTGTGGATTGGAGAGCTGGTCAGGCTGGTCCCCAGAGGACTGGCTCCATGCTGAAGGAGCAGGGTTACGCAGGTCACATGACCCCGAGCGCAGGCTTCTGATAGGGGAGTCTGTCCATCCACTGTTGAACCATTAACCTGACAAGGGGGAGGATAGTTTTGAGACGATTTACCAGAAATTCAAGACCAAAAGGTTGTTTAGCAAGTGTAAAGATTTACATTTTTAAGTTATAAACCTCATATAGCCTCGATTATATGTAGGCTATACCATATTCAGTGAGGGTCTGCCTTTAAACATGCAGTGTTGCAGTGATGGTTCTACGGGGTGGCAGCTGCCACCTCAGAAAAAGGCCTTGCCACCCCAGCTGCCACCCCATTTGGCAGCTTTGTTTTAAAAGAAAAGTTGTGGCTCATCGAACATTTATGAGAGAAAATCTCTAATGTCCGAGTGCAAGTGAATGCAGCACCAGACGCGAGCCTTGTAACACCTCCCCCGGCCGCGTCTATTGTTTTTCCAACCCAGTTTAGATTTAACTACGCCCACTTCGGCATTATGCAAGGATCGACGTAACTCTACGCGATAGCGTCATAGACTTCATCTTCGGCAGTTTAGCGGTCGCGGTGAAGCAGGATATTGAATAGTTGGTTTTTGTCTTTCCAAAGGATTTGTTGACTAAAACAAATCCTTTGTAAACGATCCTATAATCAAAGCCATATCGAAGAGTCCTGAGATTGTATTACTGGTGTTTTATCATCTATAAATAGCCTGTATGTATCCTCAAATGTCGTTTTCAGGACAAACAAAAGACGTTAGATAAATATCTTATCAGAATAGCCTGTGTGTATCCTCAAATGTCGTTTAAAACCTTTTAAATATCTTATCAGCTGGTGTAAGTGCAGAATATAACCTTGACTATTACTGTGTACTTCATTTATCTGACAGCATTATTTAATGATACTATTTTATATATATATATATATATATATATATATATACACACATTTATTCATTTAATATATATATATATATAAACACACATTTATATGTACTCACACATGTATTTATTCATTTATACACACAGATGTATTCATTCATTTATACACACTCACATATATACACTTTATATTAATTCATTTGTACAAACACACAACCACTGTACAACAGTTGCAATAATAACATGATATGGTATGATCAATTCTACCCTTTTGTTTTTGCTCCCATATTTCAATTAAAATATATTTTTCAAAATCAATATTGGTGGGGGCTCTTTTGCAAAGATAATCAATAACACCACCTGACAGTTGTTTCATTTTTACATGGCAAAACGTTAATATATTATTAATGTCAAATGTTATATGTTGTATTATATAACAAAATAGACATTTATAACATATTATAAATGTCTATCTTTAAATAAATGTTATATGTTGTATTATACAACAAAATAGACATTTATAACATATTATAAATGTCTATTTTTAAATAAATGTTATATGTTGTATTATATAATAAAATAGACATTTATAACATATTATAAATGTCTACCTTTAAATAAAATATTAAATAGATACCTTTACATCCTAAACAGAAGGTCAAAACGTTAATATGTTACATGACATACAAAAAAACGAAACATTATATCACGGGCGTCGCAGCCATTATATGAGGGTGGGACAAGTCCCCCCCACTTTTTCAAATGATTAGTTTAGACCCCCCCCCCACTTTTACCATGTGGAAAGTCCGTGAATCGGTCTCTCAACTCGCCGCACTTTGTAGAGCGCTGTGTCAGTGCTTCACTATCAAATCCATTCCACTTGCTTATTGAGAGAATGCCCAAATCAATGAAACTCCGTACCATGTTTTCACTGAGTTGTACCAAGGCAGATTCTCCCATAGCGCGCGCATGTTCAAGGAGTGTTGTCATAGTTGGACAGCTCAGATCTGTTATATGAAGCGATGCCGGTAGCGGAGGTAAGGCACACACACCAAGTGTTCAGGAAATGGTTAATACAGCGAAAATCAAAACTGACGATCTCTTGGTTTGATATGTTTTCTCCCCCAGACAACATGGACATAACACTTTTTTTTTTAAAGAATAGGAAAGTAAGTCATCAGCTGGTAGCAATTAATCAGTTAACAGTGATGGCGGCGGCGGCAAAAGCGTCTCACTTCTGGAGAGGAGTTTCGTCTTTATATCATGATAGAGAGATACAAATACTGAATAGTTTAGATGAGAAAAGGCATCGAAATGCCAGGTTACTAGTATTTATCATGTAAACAGGGAACATGAATAACCCGATCTCTCTGTGCTCATGTAAACACCATGATGTACTGTAGAGGCGCAGTCAGTGTGTTTTACTGGAGCCTCAGTTCGATAAGAGATTATTTTCTGAGTTCTTTAACTTCGGTACTCTCTCTCAAAATGATAATGTGCATTATGTTTTAATTATACTTCTTATCATTCAGAAGCTTTTTGTGTGTGTTTATGTTTTACTGAGTGCTTATAGGCCATTTCCATCCCAGTATTCAGTTAACTATTTATTTTCTGCGCACATTACATAGACAGCTAATATTCTACCTACTGCTTGGGACTTTGAGTCTTCAAAATGTCCAATGTCACAGACTGGGACTTACTTTAGAGTCAACAACTGACTCTAAAGTAAGAGTCCAGGCTTTACATTCAGTATGACTTGTTATGATTCAATGTGAAAGAGTATACTGCACAATAAATAGTGATCACCTCACCACCTCTCTTGACATCTAGGTGCTTGAGAATGAGTCAGAGGCATAACACAGGGACAGTGGAGAGAGGTTCGTTGCTGAGGTGAGTGATGAAAGGGAAATGACAGTTTAGAGTAAATTGTGATGTGGACTCTCATCCCAGAATGTTAAGGAAATCAGTGGGGATATTGAACAGGAAGCATTTCAGTCAAGGGGCATCATATGACCAATATAGACAGAAGAGCAACATTTAAGTCAATGATACCATTCCTAGGTGAACTTAACATCTGTATGGAGTCAGATCAGTCTCAATATTAATACATGCTCACAGAAGGATTCACAAATGTATTTTGCGATTTATATATAAATGACTCTCCACAACAATATCTCTCAATGCACTCACAAATAGTTATTGTTGTATATAAATGTACAAAAAAATGGGCATTTAAACTGCTTTTTATTAATTAAAAGACGGCTCTGAATTAATAATCAAATATGTTTCCTTTATTTACTACTGGATGAAATTACAAAATGCACCCATCATTTCCCTCATGCTAGTATAGCCACATAAAAGTATCAAACCACCTGTTAAAATGCACCAGAATACACCCCCCGTTAAAAATGTCCCCCCCACACATATATATATATAGGCTATTGTAGTGCCGTGAAAAGGGAGTCGGAGGCGGTATTAAGAATTGACTTCCACACTTTATTATTCATTAAACTCTCTGAGGTTAATACATTAACTGCTCTGCATGACAAGCTAGCAGGAATGATTAGCTCCAGCTCAGTGTTCCCACTAAAGGGTCCGTGTGGCAACACAATACAAGAGGTGAATTATGGTCCAACATGGTGTCACCACACAAGCCCCCCCAGAATTCACAAGTAAACAAAATCCATATGGCGGGGAGGAACAACAAGCCAACCCCCACGAGTCCTGCGCACCGAGCCGGTACAGCGACTTCCGCCTGTGCGGCCCCCGTCAAAGGAGGGACCGGAACAACAGATCCACACTCCCTGACAGGAATCAAAGCCGGAGGGCGGCCCCGTCTCGGTGGTCGAGCCAGCACCACGTCCAAATGAGCAGCCTTCACCCGGTCAACCGAGACGTGCTCCGTCTTGCCGCCCATGTCGACCATCAGGTGCTTGTCACCGTGTTCCAAGACCCGGAACGGTCCCTCGTAAGGGGGCTGCAGGGGGCCTCTGTGTGCGTCGTGACGTATGAAGACGTGCCCAGCCGAGCGTAGCTCCGCGGGAACTTGAGACCTTGGCGCACCATGCTGGGTAGACGGAACTGGAGCGAAAGCCTCCGCTGCGTCTCGTAGGAAAACCCGCTGGGCCGTGGCAGACCAGGGAGCTGATGCATTCGGGAGGAAATGCATCAGTTCCCCTGGAACTCTCAACGGCTAACCGTAGACCATCTCCGCTGTAGAGCACTGCAGATCTTCCTTAGGTGCGGTCCTCAGGCCCAGCATCACCCAGGGCAGCTTGTCGACCCAGTTACCGTCCGTAAGGCCGCCGGCCTTGAGGGCCGCCTTCATGGAGCGATGGAAGCGCTCGCAGAGGCCGTTAGCCTGAGGGTGGTAAGCGGTAGTCCTGTGCAGCTTAACCCCCAAACCGCCTGCCACGGCGTTCCAGAGTTCGGAAGTGAAATGAGAGCCCCTGTCTAAAGAAATGTCCGACGGGGTGCCAAAATGACACACCCACGTTGCAATGAAGGCCCGGTCAACGTCAGCGGCCGACGTCGAAACGAGCGGGACCGCCTCCGGCCAACGGGTCGTCCTGTCCACCATGGTGAGGAGGAGGTAGGAAAAGCCCTGAGAGGAGGGCAATGGACCATCCTGGTGGATGTTTACTGGGGTGCAACAATTAATCGACTTAATCGATTAAAATCGATTACCAAATTAGTTGCCAACTAATTCAGTCGTCGATTCGTTGGTGACGTCATCACGTGTGTTTTACGCGCCGTTAAGCTCCAACGTTATTGGTCTTTTTATCGGTACCGCCACCGGAGACATTTAAAAAATACATGTCATGTATTATTGCTACAAAAACATTATATCGCAGTCTTAGTGTCGCCAACTAGTTTCTAATATGCAAAAAAACAAACAAATGCGTCTATGATGTATTTTCGATCAGACGAGATCTCTCTCCCCCGTCTGTGTGCGAGGGGGCGGGGCAGTTTACACACACGCAGCTGCTACATTCAGCAACACACGGAGGAGATGGCGGAGAGAACGCGCTCCGAGCATGGCTCCGAGGTGTGGTTAAACTTTACCCGTCTCGATGTCGACAATGCTCGTTGCCAAAAGTGGAATAAGAGTTTAGCATGTAAGGGCGGTAACACGAGCAATTTGTTTAAACATTTAGCAAAAGTGCACCACATTCAGACGGAGGAATGCACCGGGTTCGACTGTCTTTCTAGTAGCTCTAGCCCCATCCACGAGTAACGTTTCCACGTCAGGTGTTATGTATGCTAGCAGCAACACACGGAGTTAACTCAATTATACAAACATGGGTTAATGATTAGAGGTAACTGAGTTATTTATTTTGTTAAAAGTTTCAGCTATTCTGTTTATAGAATCGTCTTCACTCGACGCTGGAACTACGCTCCGTTGAGCGCCCGTGTCACACAGAAACAGGCTCCCCGAAACGCTGTCGCTGACGAAGAGGAGCCTGCACGTGCCGCCGACGCTCAGAGCCACTAGCTGCACGGAGCGATGCATTTCTTTGCCATTGTCCCGAAACGTGCGTGGTAAAAGCACTCTCCGGTGTCTCCACGCCGGCTCGATACAGCCGTGTCCGCCCTCCGCCACGCTTTCTTGACTGCAGATGGGCCGCTGAGCGTCGCGGCTAACGTCTCTGCACCGGGCTGTTGTGTAGCCAGGAAAAAACGAGGCACGGGGCTCCATGACAGGCGTGTTGGCCAGTGCCGTTTGGACCCGGGGAGGCAAGTGACGCAGGAAAATCTCCGTGAATAAAATCCGGGGATCTTCCCCCCCTAGCAGATTTAGCATTTTCGCCATTAGCTGAGATGGCTTGCTGTCTCCTAGGCCTTGAATGTCAAGTATCTGGCGGGCCCTCTCCTTAGCAGATAAGCTAAATGTCTTAAGGAGAAGGGCCTTAATCGCCTCATATTTGCCATGGTGTGGGGGGGCTGCGACAAATCCAACCAACCTGGACGACGTGGAGCTTCCCAGCGCTGCTACCACATGGTAATATTTCAGGTTCCCGTTACGGACCTGTCGGCAGGCGAAGTGCGCCTCCACGCGAACCATGCCATTGCCTCCGCGGCGTGCTCCCAGAATTCCGGCAGCTTTACGAAAACATCGCGCTCAGCCATGTTCGTTGAGTTTCCGGAAACTATCTCGGAAACGTCAGGGTCACCAGTGTAGTGCCGTGAAAAGGGAGTCGGAGGCTATTAAGAATTGACTTCCACACTTTATTATTCATTAAACTCTCGTTTAATGTTAATACATGAACTGCTCTGCATGACAAGCTAGCCTAGCAGGAATGATTAGCTACAGCTCAGTGTTCCCACTAAAGGGTCCGTGTAGCAACACAATACAAGAGGTAAATTATGGTCCAACATGGTGTCACCACACAGATGTTTGTTAATGTATCCCTCTTATATCCATCAGGAATTAATATTAAATGATGAATAAACATTCCTCAGCACTGCATAAGTGTGGTCGTCAGTCATATTGACAAAGAAGCACTATTATATTGTATATTGTATATCATGTGGCGTTTAAAAGGATGGTATTTCGCTTGTCAGATTCAGATTTCGCGGGTGTGCCGCGTGAGGCAGTGATGTAGCCATAGGGATGTAACGCCAGGTTGATGCTGTGACGTAACGCCGCGTCGATGCTTGCGTAATGCGGAAGTGGGATCTAAACTGTTGGAAAAACGATAGACGCCCCCCGGCCATGGCGCGAGCGTGGAAATATGATTGGCGGCGATTTCATTTGAACGCGGAGACAGCTCAAAACGAGAAGCATTTCGGATCCAAGTAGACGGAAGGAATGAGGTATTTGCGGTCAGGGTATGGCTGGGGTAGGCTACGGCGACAGCCATACCAAGAAATGGCTTAGCCCCACCATGAAAAATGATGTTAAAGTAAGCAAAAATAAAGTCCGCCAACTCGCGCGGAGTAAATTGCACAGACAGCAGTTAGTAAGATTGATTTCAGTAGCCACTTGTCTGGAAATACCGAAGACTAGAAACGGTTTTGAAAACTTTTGACACGTAGTGATCGTCTTCTCAATAGAACATCTTTGATAATGTCTTCTGGCCAATCAGAATCACAATAACGGCGTGGTGTTGTTGCAGGAAGTCCCGACGGAGAATAATGTTGCTGTAGTACATATACATCGATACAACATTACGTGTTGATAGAAATCAACACGTAATGAAATAAGACCCCACGGTTTGATGATTGATAGGTGTGTGTGGGCTGTCTTTCATTTTGACACACAGAACAATGGGGGCTATCCACCCTTATCCACAATGTAAAGTAATTCACACAGCCTCTTCCCTCTTCTCTCTGTGAGGAGCAGCAGGTTCAGCTTTCAGAACAAAGTAACAAAAAACTAAAATGGCATTCATTTTTTTTTTTTCATATGTAGTGTAGTAATAGACGTATTTTTTATTTGTCTTCTCAAGTACCAGAATGTGTATTTTATGTTAGTATTTCAAAAAATCTCCTGGGGGAGAATCCCCACAGACCCCCCTACAGGGGTTGGGTTTTCAGCATGTCAACTCTTTCACCTGTGGGGAAATTGCAGGATTGGCTCCAGGTCGCCCTTTTTATTTACTACAAGACAAATGTGCCTTTTTATTTCATACAGTTCAATTTGGATTGAGACAGGGAAATAATCTAAACCTCACGCGTGGCGTTTCACTGTCAAGGGGAGCGTGTATGTAATTACATTGCAAATACTGACTTGAGCCCCACCACTGTATGGGTTAGCCCTACCATAGATTACCCAACACAAATACTCTGGAGCTGCCACTGTTTGTGGTCTACAATGACAGAGAAGAGCCTGCCAAGTTTGGCTGTACTCAGCATTGAATCAAAACCATAGCACCATAGCTTTAAATCTTAATAAGTTTGTGAGGCGTTTTGCTGATCAAGATGGTAATCGCCACATTCAGCTGTAATAGGCATGCCAAATTAATGCTCTGCTCACGGATGAGTCGATGAGAATAATAAACTGTTAAAATGATGACCTTACGTGTGTGTATAACATTTGCCTTCTTTGTGGGGGTCTGCCCCCAAAAACTGTTTCAAGTCCTGAGAAAGTCAAATAAGACAGTGTGTAAAACTTCACTGCCCAGCCAAAAAAAGTAACCACTATGATTTAACTAGGCCAGTAGGTAAGGACTTTCCACTGGATAATAACTGCAGCAATGATTATATTTTAGCTGAATACACGTTTTTTAACCCTAACTGATGCAGTTAGTCACTTCTTTAATGTTTGTTCTTTCTGATGTAAAGTCAAGGTTGTAACTGTTTGCAATGAAGTTGTGGGGCGCTGAACTGTTCTTTTGAATCTTTTGATTTATGATAATTACTTGTCTTTCAAATTTGAAGGAGGGTGAGCAAGCATTTTGAGGAACATTCATCATTAACTCCTCCAAAAGATATAGTTTATTTAATAATAACACTGAATATGTGAATCATAACAGTGATTGACAGCTGATAGGAATAATATGATTGTTAATAGTATCATATTCATTCAGACAAACATCGACGAGACAGTTAATTAATGTACTTATTGCAGCAGTCTGCATAGATAGAAACTCATTCAGTTATTGTTCAGTTAAAATTCATTAAATGATGTCTGCCACCTTATATATTTATATGTAAGGCTTTAATGTTGTACCACAATAATGTCACCTAATGTTATTGAGTTAAAATATAAATATTGTGGCTTTCCAAGTTAACATTGTTGATATGACTGGGATTAAATCAGCATATACTTCTGCCAGGGGATGCCACCCCTGAAATTCTCTTGCCACCCCATGAATATTTGTCTAGATCCGCCCCTGCAGTGTTGTATCCTCAGATTTATGTTAAACGTGCATGCCTTAATGTGTCTGCATGCTTTGTCTCTGTTTGGTTAATCTCTTACTAAATGCACCAAAACAAAGATACACCTAGTAATAATTGATGGGCTGCTTCCTTACTAGACTAGGGGAGGATTCTGGTAAATAAGGACACAAAACATATTGTCTTCCTTTGAGATCATCTTAAATGTATTTATATGTATAAAAGAAAAGACATATCCAGACAATGGAGCCTTACTGACATTTGCCCCATTTTCCATCAAAAGCTTGGCGCACGCTGTGTGGCCTTGCAAACATGCTCCATGGAGGGGGGAGACCTGGTCCAGAGTGTTCAGATTCACACACATACCCTGTGAACACACACAGCAAATGTAACATTGTAGATGCATATTAGTACGTTTAGTGTTACTACAAGATCTCAGTATAAGCAATGTGATGAGTTTCAGATTTGTTCTCAATAAATACATAGATACATTTCATTTTATAAAGTAGCATGCAGTTAAACTTGACCTGTGCAATGAGTCTCTGCAGAGCGAGGACACGTCCATTAAAGGCAGCATCGTGAATTGGAGACCAATCTGATTCAGTATCTAGGTATAGAAACAGTGGCCACCAACAACCTTTAAGTAACATAAATGTGCATTCAAATGAAAAGCAGAAACATTCTGTCCAGAGCAGTAAACAAACTGCAGTGTCAGCATAAGCTGCCCGCAGATACTCACCACTCATCAAAGGGTTGGAGAAAAAAACAGAAGTTCTGTTTTGACATGCAGTGTCTGGCGGAGTCTCTCTGTGTCCAGCAGACATACTTCTCACTGCCGTTCTAAAAGCTGTTTTAAGCTGTTTTTACAACAGAGGCTGAACTGTGTGCTGCTCGAAGTCAAAATACATCTGAGAGGCGTTTGCTGCTCATCTGTTTTCACTTTTTTGGTGGCAGGTCTGGTTGCTGTGATGTCATTTCCTCTTTGACAAAGTATTTGCCTGCAGGAAACAGGCTGGTACAATGAAGCTGCTGGTTCTCAACCAATGAAGGTGCAGAGGGAGTGGGAGACGGGCCTGTTGAGCAGGTCTGTAATTTCAGTGTAATTTGACACTGTACAGCCACACCCATCCTCTCCAGCAGGAGATGGGCGGCGTTCAGTTGTTTGAGTAAAACTAAGGATAAACTGGATGGAAGTGAAACCATTTATATACATAATGATCTGTGGGCATTATGTATTGTTGGTAGTCACCATGTAGCAAGCTGTAATGTGATTTTACTTTTAAAGATGTACCATATGCCTATATTTCTTCATATTGTGCCTGTTTAGAATAACACAGTACCTGTTGCACTGATAGCAATCCTTTAATCCGTTGCTTTACTTTCAATTGTTGGATAAAGGCATTACTAAACTATCTAAAGTGCCTCAGGAATGATTGTGCTGCCATTGCAGAGGTGCACATCGTTAAACATGTTTTAAGACGTGTCACTGTGAATGATGTTTGTGCAGAGTTTGATTCCAGACGGCCGTGTATTTTGACTCATAGGATACCCTAAAATCTGAATCGATTTTGATGATTTTTTTTTTATTCAGTACTAATACTTTTAAAATTATTCTTCGCTTGTTTTCTTCTCTTTAATTTAATTCTAAATCAACCTAGTTGTTCAATTCTTTTTTTTGTCCTTTTTGTAATGGTAATGACATTTTGCGGAGATAACAGCAGAATTGTCTTTTTAAATATCCCAAAAAAAAACATTTTGCCTAATTACTTTTGGTCACAAGTGATCTTAACAAAGATAATCTCATGGCTTGCTTTGTAGAAACCAGGAAATCCACTTCAGACTTAACAGACTGCGGATGGGTGGCATGATAATTAGACAGACTCTCTTTAAAGTAAAGGCAGGGATCAGTACCACCGGCAATAAACTTACACAACCTCTGACTTCCCTAAAAAAGCTCAATCAGGTTCCCACACAAAGTCTGTATCTTTAAAATAAAATAAATGTGCTTCAAACAGCTGTGTTATGGCGTAGTATACACCCTTATAAGTATTGATTTAGGCTGCTTCTAGTGCTTCATGTAGGCTATAAATATAGTACAATAATGTGTAATAGTAGCTATATTTTTCCACAAAAAGATATTCCCAAAAGCAGCAATATCTGTTGTTTCTTGAGCTCCATTGTTTGCACACCAGCAGAGGGCAGCAACAGATATTTAAACAGCAAATCGATGCTAACCATATTCTTCAGGGAGTTGTTAATCCCTGGCAGCAGGCTACAAGCTTGCCATACAATTGACTTTGTGCCTGGTCGGAGAAGGTGCATATAGATTAGAAAGCCATTGGACAAACTCAATGAATGCCCTCTCTGTAGTACTGAATAATGGACGCCCTTGATGCTTTGTTTCCCAAATAAATCTGCTTGAAATGTCCACCCGTTTCCTCAGATCTCTGTCCAAGCAGGCAGATCCAGCCGCTGCCCTGACCTCTCCAGTATTTGGACGTGGACCAATGTCTCATGCATACATACTGGGAGGGAAATAATATCAAGGCAAGGTCTTGGTCACTCACATAAACACCACATGTCATCCTTGTTATGAGACTGAGGACAGGAGAGGTTTTTTTTCTTAGGCTGACCATTTCTGTTTATGCCAAAACAAATGTGCTTTTAACTCTTTGTTCCTGAGCTCTGACCTTTCCACTACAGCCACAACAAAGAGAAAAGAGGACATTGCTTACTCTACTATACGGACAGCCATTGGTTTTTTTCTTTATCAAAATCAGATTTTGTGTTCATGTTCAAACCAATAATTGTATTAGGCTAGACCAACATAAATGTAATTCCTTTCGGATTAAAACTCAAATTCAGTCTGTCTATGTGAGACCAGTCCTAAAGTCGCTCTGACATTCAGGAAAATGTCTGTTATTACAAAAGCGTGCCCCATAAATGGCAGGTTGGTAAAGTGGTTGTTGCAAAGGACATCAAGCAACATTCACTGGTCACCAATTTCACATGTAACATGGTTAGGTCTGTTATATATCAGTACGTCACAAGGGTTATCAGTGGGTCAGACTGTTGATGAGTTACAGAGTTTGGCTCACATCCCCTCCAGCAGGCTCCACATACATCCCTGTTACAGCCTCCCAGAATATACCACACACAGTGAGGCTAATGGGATGGATGGACGGACCACCTTAAACTAGCCACATATTGTATATCTATTCAAAATCTAAATTCTAAATATTGTATGCTTTTTATTGATAACTTGACCTAATTGTTCATTGTTAAACATGATTTGTTGTACATCTGGTGTTAATAGGCGTTAGCTCAACAATTACGTTTTTGATTATGAAGCCTATGAATTTAGTAATTGGTGGTGTTGTTATAATTAAAAAGTACACAATCTATGTTCACAGTAGATAATGAATAAAGTCGTTGCATTCACTTACATTATGCATTGTACTTTCTTTGTAATAAATCAGCAGTGTTTTATGAGCCTATAGGCTACACAATTTAGCCTCAGTGTTGCAATAAAGTATATGAAATCAAAAATGTCGTCTTGTATTTTTATGTTGCTGTATCTTCTTCAGGGATACTGCAGCAAAATACTGTTCATGATTTCACTAAAATATTAGATATTCAGTAGCTTGCTGAACTCATAACTTGAGACCTAAATCACACACAGGCCTTTGTCGGTTTCTTGCATTGTGGCACAGTTAAGCTACAACTGCAGGGATTAAATAGAAGCACATGATGATTCAACCCCGTGATTTCTCACTGAGTCGGCTGATGCACCCAATCATTTCCTCTACCTTCCTTGTCTTTTCTGCTTTCTCCTGACAGCGGGGCCCACTTCTCTGTTCCTCTCTCCCCGGAGAACCATGGCCTCCCCTCGGCTGGAGACCTTCTGCTGTCCGAACCGGGACGCGGCCACAGACTTCGTGGTCTCCTTCCAGCCCGATTTGTTCGCTGCTCTGGGTCTGGCCAGCGCGACTCTCAGTCTCTTGTTTGCCGTTTTACAAATTCTGCCCAAACGCAAAGGATACAGAAGACTCGGGCAGTATCCGCTGCCGAGACCCGCATCCTCCTCCCGGATAGTGTTCATCATCAGTTTATGTGACATACTGGGATGCATAGGTAAAGAACAGTCCTGCTTTCACTCAGAAAACTGTTTCACAACGTGGGTTTCTGGATTTAATGACACTCGCAAATATGTTGTTTTTAACCGTTTTGTTGCACGGCATCAGTTTATGTGACATGTGAAACAGAGAATAACATAAAACACAAGTTTTAAAAATTGCCCGCTCTTGGTCAACTTAAAACTTGATAACAAACTTTGAATACGCAAATCTAAACTCAAAGTGATAGCTTTATTTGAGATGTTTGGTTCTAAAGCAACTTATTACGAAACAAAAGAATGAATCATTATCCTCTCATGTGAGTCATGAATGACTCCTGCAAACCATTTGTTCCTGTTGATCTGAATGCAGCATTGTTCTTATAGCAACCACTACCTACATGTTATTAACACTGAAAAACAGTGGTGTAAAGTAACTAAGTAGTACTTGAGTATTTCATTGTTTTGCTACTTTGTACTTCAACTCCAGTACAATTCAGAGGTAAATAATGTAGCCTACTTCTACTCTACATTTATTTAATACCTTTAGTTACTCTGCAGATATGGATTAATGATGTGAATATAATCAACACTTGCTGCAGCTTTACCTGCTTTGATAACACTTTAATGCATCAATCATTTATAATAAAAACATATAATATATATCATTCTAAAATGGGCAATCTGCATAATGAATATACTTTTACTTTTGGTACTTTTTCACTTTTACTTGAGTAACATTTTAATTGCAGGACTTTTACTTGTAACAGAGTATTCCTACACTCTTGTACTTCTTATTTTACTTAAGTACACGATCTGAGTACTTCTCCCACCTCTGCTGAAAAAGGCTGTAAGAGTATTTTCAGCGCACCGAACCAATGTGACACTCGAGCTGTTCATTCACCACCCTGCCTGTGCTCCTGCCTGGTGAGAGAGGAGGCAGATGAAGTCATGTATTACTGTGTGCTTAGTGCCGGCGAGATCCATCCACAACTGCGGAATAACAGCTAGAAGCACACCCATGACACAGTTTAAAGAGAAATAATAGCATGTAGTCTGCATCACATTAACATTCTGGGAGAGCTCCCTGTTTTTCCATCCACAGTGAAGAGTCCTGTGTAGGAAATGGAAACACCCTTATAAAACACACCTGGAGGTAGTTCATATTTCCATGACATAAATCTGCTATTAAAAGGACTCCCATGACTGAATGTACTTAATTAACACACTTAATAATGCAGAATGAAATGATGCTTTAAATGTTAATCAAATCCAGATCCCTGTTTTGTTTTGTATTATTTCCTCGTCTGATTCTCTCAACAGGTTACAAACATGAGATCATGTGTTGTTTTCCTCCTCCAGGTATCATTGTGCGGTCATCTGTCTGGCTGGGCCTGCCGAACGTCATTGAGCGTATCTCAGTGGCCAACAGCACCGAGGTCTGGCCAGAGGTTTTCTGTGTCGGCAGCGCAGTATGTATGATGCATTTTGACAAATCTTCCCCTTTTTTAACAGTCAAACAGTTAAGTTAAGTACATTTACCATACAGGTTGTTTAAGTTCAGCTTCATGCCTGACAGATGACAGAACAAGGCGCTATAGCGGACACAAACTCATAATTATAAAATACTAATAAAGGACTGGCTTACCTAAAGCCAGTTGAGTAGCACTTGAAATGTTTGGCTCTATGAAACCTGATGTACTTATGATTCTGTTTTCTTCAAGGTTGTGTCTTCCTGGTCGAATGTACTTATTGTAAGTCGCTTTGGATAAAAGCGTCAGCTAAATGCAATGTAATGTAATGTAATGTAATAATTCTGTTTATTCTAAATCATGCGTGATCCTGGGAAATCCAGATTTCACTCATGCTCAGCAAGCATGCACGACTGACTGTAAAATATCTGTTAGCCCACGGCTTTTCAACTGTAAAGTCACACATAACATATTTACCTCAGTTACTCATGCTTCTTATTATGACGAATGATCAACATTATGACCTGTATAGTAAGGGTCTTCTGTCTCATTTATGCGTTACAGATGTGGATC